ATGAGAGGACAATCAAATAATATGTATTAAAATTCAGCGTTGAAGTACATTTATTTTACAAGGAATTCGTTATAAGCCAATTTAATAAATATAATAATATTATTATCACAATTATCAATTTCAGAAATTGACTCGCTTCGTACGCGATAGTCTCGTTATTATATGGCCGTTTAGTTAATAGTACATAAATTCAAGATCACATGGTTTGTCCGAAGCGACGCAGCTCACCATATTTATATTCTATAGATAGATGTCAGTGGTTATCCGTTTTGGTTGAGGTGGAGGTTCGAGTGTCGCTTGGATTATCGATCATGTACATTGGCCCACTAATTACTTAGTCCATCGTCACGCAAATGTTTGGGCTTCTCGGTCATCATATTCTATAGATGGGCCGATCCCATGGCCTAGCGAATGAAGATTTGGGTCATTAGGTGATTTTGAAAACCCAATTACCATTGTGCCGATAATGAGGCTACGATAGTCCAGCTTAATTACCTGGACTACGAGCGAACCATTTGGGGCTGCACCACAATCTTCTGCGCAGCCGCCTTTTTTTCACTATAAATTATGATTTTCATCTAAATTCTAAGCTTCACAATACCACTGCTATTATAATTCTTATAATGAGAACAAACACATTGAGTGTGCGATAGTTGAAAATAGCTTTATTTACAAATAGTAATATTTAAATATGCTCGTGTTGTTTTATTTGGAAATAAATTTTTTTTTTTTTTTTTTTTTTTTTTTTTTTTTTTTTTTTTTTTTTTTAATAAATAAATCAACAGCGCCTCGAAAATTCTTGCCAAAGACTATTATTCGTAGGTAAATTTCCTCTTATTCGTGAAACTCAAATACCAAACTGTACGTGTTGAGATATGAATATACGCGTGGGCCGAGATTTAAGCTATTTTATAGAGAAGATAAATTAATTTCAATGAATCAAAGGCAGATGAATAATTAAAAATATTATTTATAATATTACCTTTAAAAATATTCTTTTTACGACTTAATTAATGTATATGAAAATAAATAAAATTCTAAAATTAATTTAGTATTGTGTAAAGGGAATTTATTTGTTATAAATTTATTGAGCTGAGCTAACTAATATATACACACTTTAAATATATCTCTGAGTGAATTCAAACTAATTTTCGAATTTAATATTAAATAAACGAATGATAGATATGAAATATTTTCTACTTAATATTTAAATTAAGAATATTTTTAACTTTATAAATATAATAATATCTCTCTCTCTCTCTCTCTCTCTCTCTCTCGCGCAATTAATTTTAATTAATTATTTATAGATAATTAAATTTTAATAGTGCTTACTATAAAAGATGAATAATTTAATATCTGAAATAAAGTTCATATTGATTATTATGATGTTGATAATGTTTGTTCTGCTTAGGGGATTCGTCATCACCACTTTGATCAAAGTTTAGCCTATTGGCGAGTGTAAGCCATAAGCCCAAGGACTTTTTTGTATATCCCACCTACATAGGACTTCGGCTACTTATATATCCTATCATTAGTGAGCATATTTCGAACGATAAGGTTGTTATTTCAAAATTTCGGTTTTGTATCTTGGAACTGACCAGTCTCTTTGAATGTGGAAAATCGCAATTTAATACACATGTCGTACATAAAACATTTTCCATACAAATCATATCTATAGCTAGTTGGTAATAAATAATATTTATTTGTTGAAATTTATTACTTTTTAACATTCAATTTTCTGTATTTTTCATTTCACGTTGCTTCCTGCAGCTTTTGAAGATTTTTTACAATTACACGCACATATGTTACCCATATAATACCGAGTATAGAGTTAAACCATGAAGGATTTAACGTTCACTATGAATCTCAAGCTACCATAAGGCATGTGAATCAACCATAAAATGCAAACATATCAATTTAGAAATCTTATTTAATATTAATTTTTTTTTTTCAGCAGAAAAAACGAAGAAGAGAAACTCTGATACACGTTATGCGCTTGCTTTTACATTAATTTGTCTGCTGGAATTCTCATATTTCAACGTTGATTCGAATATTTTATAATAGATAGGTAGATAGATAGGTTGTCTTTATGTGTATTTTTCTTTTCTTTTTTTATATGTTTTTTATGATTGAAAATTTTTTACGAAACTGTGGAAAACTCTACTCAGATGTTTTATTTTCATGAAGAATTCAATTTATGAAATATCATTAATGTTTTGCAACAAATGAACTGCATCTGCATTTTAGTAAATTTACTCATTCTTGTGTATTACGTTTCGTTGGACTTAATATGTATATATTATATTCCAAAATTATACATTAATAATTAATTTTTACGAACAAATTATATAAATTTGAACATTATAACATAATATTTCAAATGAAATATTGGCAACAGCTGTTTCTCATAATATCTTGCCTGTTTAAGATATTTTAAAATTATTTCATACTACGAACTATCGAAACAAATTATAATTACATGATCGATAAGAATTTTTTTACAATAAAGTCATAAATAACCTAATTTATGAAAACAATCATTCTTTTTTTAATATAATACATGGTAGATAATTGTATAATATTGCAATTGCTTTTGTATTTTATCCGTTCGAAAAATATTCAAATTTTATTTTATTATCTAATATATTACTATCTAATCTATTATTATTAAATTATTAATCTAATATAACGCAAGAACGAAATTGAAGTAAATACTCTCGATAATATTAAATTTTTTTCCTCGCAGAATAAATATTTTATTTATAATTTTATATTCTATATATTTAAATGACAAACCATGGAATTCAAAATTTTAAAGCATTTATTCTGAAGAATTGTAAACATTTCTGGACTCCATACTACAGTTCTATTATGATTACGCTGTAATTTTTCATTGAAATTTATCTGTAATTGTATTTTTCATCTTGTTTTACGGATTACCATCTGTATATAACGTACAAAAATTTCTCCGTTAAACAATAATATCCATAATATACGAGGTTTTATTTAAAAATCAATACAGTGTCATATAGCAGATAAAAAAACATAATTCATGACTTCGTTTATCTAGATTTAAATTGTATCTCCTTTGAAATGATATCCATCATTTAAATATCACCCTTACACCCATGTTTTTGAAGTTATTGAAACATTTGTTGAATGCATTTAATTACGTGACTTTAAATAGTTTATTTAAATTTACTACTTAACTTTAATTTTACTTAGAGATGATTTTTTTTTTTCTTTTACTTTAATCGGCACTAAAAATATTCCAAGTCATACTTCCTAAGTTTCAAACTTAAACTGTCGAAAATATTAAGAGATAAAATAAGACTTTACAATGATCCAATTTGAATTTTACTCTTCTTTAAAATTATTTAAAAGAAGAATAAAAAAAAAAAAATACTTCCTGCAAAATATCATATCCAATGCATAAATATAAGCTTTTTTTTAAATTTCCATATTTATTTTAACTTACAAAATTTTTATAAAAACGTACTTTATTCGATTTATTCGATACACAAAATTAACAACTCGATTCATTCTCTATAATTGTAATTTTAGATGTGATTTCATCTCTTCGATCATCAACTGATAATATTTTTCTATGATTTTATCATCGTTTCGTAATAATTTAAGAATAGACAAATTTTATTACAACTTTCATATATATTCAAATAAATTTAACAAAATTATAAAACTTTGTTTCTTATTTTTCTTCAAAAGCATCACGAATACGTTCTTTAATGCTTCAAATAAGATAATATCTATAGATAATTTTCTAAACATTATTTAGTCATGAATTTTGATATATTAAAAAATACAAAAAAAAAAAAAAAAATAAAAAAAAATCACCCTTTACTATTAAGTCTAGGATATCTTTATTCATCTATATTTAAGGAAAAAACTCATGCAAATATTGATCGTTCAGCTAAAAGCGTAAAATTTTGTAATTTAATAACTTAAGGTATATTTTATAAGTTATTTTTCTTTTTATAAACCTACCTTCTTTCGATTAACTTTGTACAATAAAAAGGAAATTACTTTTTTTATTAACTGTTTATAGGCCTCATAAATATTCAAGAGAAGCATCCTTTAAAGTTCAAACGGTAAAGTTAAGTGTAATTGTGTTTTACATTACTTATTACATTATTAATCTTTTTTTTTTTTTTTTTTTTTTTTTTAAAGCAAAGACTATAATAGTTAAAGAAAACATTAAGAGTAACTTTGATGTTTCAATAACTTGACTTGATTTTTTTTTTATTTATGGCCATACGTACATGCTTCATAGTCAGTAATAATGTATCGAAGTCATAATGTGAAAAGTAAGAAAAATGTTAAACGACAACATCTTGGATGAAAAAATTAAAAAAAAATTCCATTAAAATATTGCAAAAAAAACCCCTGCTTTGTTCATTAATTTTCATGTAATGGGCCTTTTGGATTGAAAAATCTATAGAATTTAGGAGCTACCCGATTCCGACGATTAAGGAAAGCCTTTAGTAAAACTTTTATGATGCGAGTGTACGAATCATGAATTTCACAAAGATTTCATGAGAGTCCTTATATCCTTTCTTATTACGAAGTGTAATAAAATAAATAGATATGTATAAAAAAAAAAGTACATGTCCATGAAATCTAAATATAATCCAATATGATTATGTCCATATACATATCATAAACTTTACTTTTCTCGCATCAGACCGTCCTTTATCTCTGAAATTATTACGTATTAAAGAGTCACGTAATATTTTTACATGTAAATTTTCAATGCATTTTCATGTAAAGGCCAGAGTATGCAATCACCTTTAAAAATAACCAAGCTTTCTGTCGCTTTCACTTCATTTCACTATTTAATAAATAAGAAAATTCATAAGATAGGACCTAATAGGACCTAAGCAGGTATTCGCTTCGCTTAATTATGGAGTCAAAGTCGGACGACTGTCATTAACCGTGGTAAGCCGACCGTCAAGTCAATCCACATGCTCGGCCCCGCCCAACCCGCTCGCCCCGCTCGAGCTCATTTTGTCTCGCGCATAAAAGCCGATCATTTGCGCTCTCTTATCTGCTCATCTGGAAGCCCATCCGCACAAGTATGGCTATCCTTTAAGGGAATTCGATGAAAGTCGGCGCTGCAACCAGACCTTATCAACGGTGCGGACGATGGATCGTATGTACAATGACAGACGGACAGTAGTGTGCAGCATAATGTGCAACTGTGTTGAGTGATTAATGACGAGGAAGGCACGGGGGAGAAGATCGGTTGAAGCTAATGTGCTCTCGGATCTGTGGCAGTGGCCGAGAAACGAAAGTCCTTGGGCAGATCGCATTCGATAGCCAGGCATCCACCCGTTTTATCCCAATACCTTGTTTATTTAAATATCTCGGAGAGAGATAGGACGAGAGCTGATCGGTGATCACGGATAAGTGGCAGTAATTATCGCAGACTAGTTATTTGCGATCGGTGTAGTGTGCCAATAGGCTTCGTTAATCCTCGTAATAGGATTACGTAAACTCAAATGATTAATGCTTTTTTATCGATTAATTTGTGCGCGTTTATCGTGTGTATGTACTCACGTGTATATTTACACTCGAAGCACTCGTATTGTTGCCGCAAATTGTGCCTAATCATTTGCAAGATAAAAAGCAATAAATTAAATTGAAAGCATTTGCACTGGGCGTTTTATTAATAGAGAAAGTTTCTTTATCACTTGCCATTTGGAGCAGTTTTTATTTTCCTCTTGTTTTCAAGGCAGACATTCGATGTTTGTTTATGGTGGGGGAATCATCATTTAATCCTTATCAGTGATTAAGTTCACCAGATTATAATAAAATTCTTTGCATTATAGAATGTAACGAGCAGTTTATTTGAAGATTAAGTAAATGTTTGTTGGACTTGAAGAAATTTGGCCTACGCATTTCCTTCCCATTACATTGATCATCGATAGTGAATTGTGTCAGGATACTCGTAGCTCGAGGCATTTGTATAATAATTAGTAGATTATTGTGGGATAATTTCAGTTGGCTGTATCGTAATAATGCCTGCTAAATTGAGTAAATTTGCCATCGAGGCTAGTTGTAGACAATATGCCCATCCATGGTCCGACTCTTGTATTAGTACCACTGCTGGCTTAGGTCTTCAAGCGTTGCAGGACTGCATCAGGATATACTCGACACTTTATTTTGTAAGCTTTATCAAAATCATTCTTTATTGCGTTTAGGTATTATTACAATAAATCAATACAATAATGATAGATTTATGGCAAATGTTAATTTTTCAATATGATAAATAATTTTGTGAATTGTAACTGTGCCTCTATATTAAATAAGCCGCTAATTATTTTATTAAGAGCAAGACTTTTTCTATTGTATTATTATGTCTATCATAAAATTTTTATCGTTATACGTGCATAGATTACGCTTTTAACGAAAGGACGAATTCCAACAATAATTGATATAAAAAGGACATTCTCAAGCATTATTCAATCTACTGTATTTTTATCATGGAGCGCCTTCACCTATTCAATGTTCATTTGCTTTTTTCGGTAAGTTCATTAGTTTTATAACTACTCGTTACAAAAATTAAAGTATTAATCTAAAAAAAAATTCTTTGAAAAAATTGTATGTTTTAGGAGGATTTTGGGACATTTTAATATATTAACAGTATCATTTATTCCTTCGTTTTTCTCGAGTCTCAGTGCAATTGTATTAGAAAGACCATCGAGGCGTACTATGCTATGTTTATATGTTTCCAACATTGTGAGACTTTTTTAGCTTTAGCGTCAAGGGAATACTTATACCTTGAATCTATATCATTTTTCAAAGTATGAAAAATTAAAAGCATTTATCCGTTTAAATTATTGTTAAAACATATATTTGTGTAATTCTATGGAGAAATTGAGGATTTTAGTTTATAGTAAAGTTTTTGAGTATTCAATGTTTCAGATATTTGTTATTCTTTAATACACATATACATAATAATCATTCGATATCCAAATAGTTCAATATTCAAACTTTAAAAACTTAGATCATCGTGCATGTACTCCCTTATTATCCATTATGTGTTAATACAATATTTTCACTATGCTTTTTATGATAATATATTTCAAATATTTTTTTTTAGGCTACAGAAACTTTATTCAGGATGGCAGTATCAAGGGGATATGCTTGTGCCGTTCCAAGAGGAGAGGTTTACATATTTGCCGCTGGCATGGTAACATTGTTATACTTCTTTAGAAGTAAACACAATAATAACGACTCCATTTTCAAAATAATAAGGTAATTATTTTTTCAGAAACAGTTGTGTTAAAAAGTCTCTATTACAAATCCGGCTGAATTCATGTAGTTTTAAAAGTAAAATTTATTACTATATTATTATCATAATTTTTCTTAATAATCACAGAATTTTATTACAAATCTAATATTTCTAATCATTTTCATCTAAGGAATGAATATGTTTTGTATATATTAACTGCCAATTGGTTAATTGTAAATACGTCTTTTTCCCCCTTTTAATGTAGATTTTATTAAAATTGTTATTTATAAAACTTATGTAATATTTTAAATCAGAATTATACTTGGTTCGTACGAAGAAAAGGGATATAAACAACGAAGCGATAATCAGTCGACTAATACAATCAGTCCCTCTCGAGCTAAAACAGTTAATGTTAAGAAAACAAAATCGATATTTAATTTAGTATGGAAATCATTAAAATTGTACGAGCTTATGATTAAGAAAATAAAAATGATGGGAAATAGACATTCATCGTGTCCGCATCCAAACAGTTGCATATATTATGTTTTAGAAGTAAGCCCATTAACATATAATATTAACACTAAGTAACTTGTATTAGTACGCTTGATTTTTTAACAGGGTGGCGTAAAAATATTTAGTTTAGGTGTTTGTGTGCAATTTGCACTGAAACTGATCTTTCAAATGAAAAATATAGTACAAAAACAAAAGCAGTTTAAGAAAATATTCTTTCAAAAAGGAAACTTCAAGTTAGCATGCTTTCTCGCTGGATTTTCCAGTTCTTACAAAGTAAGTTATAATGGAAACTAAACATTCCTCATTTATCAGTTGATATTGAAATAACTTGAAGCTTAATAGACTATTTGCAACTTTTAATAATACAAGTAGAGTGAACTTAATTTTTCAGCTAATATCCTGCTTTTTAAGAAGAGCGTATAATAAGGATTCATCGCAATATGCTATTATTGCTGGCTTATTAGCAAGTTTATCGTTTGTTATGTATCCGGATAACACAATTGCGCTTTATGTTGCATGGAAAGCTCTTCAGGTGAGATTTAGAAAAACAATTATGACCAAGTAGTACATGATTATATGTATCGTTATTAATAGTTGCACAAGGATGTGCAGTGCCATTAATGAATAATAATTTCAATAGTATACAATATAAAATTTGAGGGCTAATTTTGTAAATTAACAATGAGCCAATAAAAAATGACGATCAATAACTTTGCAGTTGCTGTGGAACAGCGGCGTCGAAAGTGGAAAAGTACCTGAAGTCAAATGGTTTGTGATATTTTTATATTGCTTTAGTACAGCTGTTTTATTTCATGCTGCAATCGTTGAACCACAAAATTTACGAACTTCGTATTGGAAATTTTTATACAGTCTATCGGGCGGAAGGTAACGTTATACAAAATTTGCATTATTTGAAACTTAAATGTATTTGAATTTTAATGGGAGCCCAATTCTGCAGAATTGCATCCATGTCTCGTATACCAATCGATGAATTTGGTTTAGAAAGCAACAAATATTTGCAAGACATTCTTAAGAAAACACAAACACACGATAAACATATCTATTCTTTTTAAGAGTAAAAATTACATATTTTTATTGATTAACAACACCAAAGACATTCCACGGATAAACGAAAGATAAATAATTATTACAATGATTACTTTTTTAATGGAGAAACAGCAAAGCTTAATTCAATATTTTTAAACTACATGCTTATAATTATTTAATTAATAATTATTACATTTAAATTTTCACATAAAATACAGTATTTTCACGTTTCAATTTTCTTATAATATAATAAGAAAATTTAAACACAACAGAATTCTTAAGCAGTAATAAAAAGAAATTATAATTTATTTTTAAACATATAATCAGAGTATACTGCTATTATTAATTGTTCATATTACAATTAATAATTATTTATTTATTTAACCAATGGTGCCTATATATTGTGATAATTTAACTATTTTTTCTACTTGTATAGTAATTTCACTTATGTAATTATTAAAATTATTTTAAAATGGAAATTGTGTATAATAACAGATTTTGTTAATATTTTTGTTTTATAAATACTTTGTATGTGATACAATCTTTTTTACTATAATATAAAAAAATAGTAGACTTTAAATTAAGGTATACGAATATTTGTTTTTTAAAAAAATGTACAAAAAAAAAATCATATTTGGTTAATGAATAAACATTATAAACAAATAAAATAGTTGTGTAAAACTTTATTTATCTCATTTATAACAAACCCGCTTTTTTGCATTAATAACTGGGTGCGTACAAATTTTTATCCTTCAAAATAAATTATTTAAATGCGTAAATTTTCAAAATACATTCAAATACTTAATTTACGAATATTCCCTAACATTTATATTTATATCGTTTCATTTTTGTAAGCAAAAATTTATTAATTACCCTCTATAACCTCCTGTTATCACTGGAGAACATTGAATAATATAAAAATTGCTTAATTTTAATATTTAATATTTGTTAAAAGACTTAATGATTAAATAAAAGATTACGCTTAAAATTGTAAAAAAAAAAAAAAAAAAAAAAAATGAAAAAACTGAAGTAAATTTTTAAATTTTTCTTCTAATACAATAAGGAAAATTTCTGTACAATATGAACATAACAATAATTTTATTTCACATTTTGCTTATTATTATTATTGACGTTCTTCATTGCTCGATTCACAATAGTTGACGTTACTATTTTGTTCGTTTTTACCTTTCGTTTTGCCTTCTTTTTCTCAAGTAACCTTTCCCAATGGATTTTACTGTGTAATATCAATTTTTTGGAATTTATGATCTTTGGTAATTCTAGATTCTTGACGATCACATACTGAACATCCGATGGCGAAATTGTCGAAGCTTCCATCGCTTGTATATCATTAATTTGCCAGGGCAAGATGCCAATGGGAGATGAACTCCAATCGCAAACGTCTAATTTTTTTAAATCATAAAATAAATGTTAACAATCACAAGTATTTCTTAAATTAACTTATAATTATTATTTTATCATTAAATGTTGGTTTGTATTCTTACGTGAATATTGTAAATCAACATTTTTTATTTTAAAATACTATTGATTTTCATTAAAAATCATAAGGATTAATTGGAAAAATGTCATAATAATATAACAACAAAAACAAAATGACTTTATCAATTGCATTAATTTATTAGAAATACGATCGATAATTAAAATATCTTTGAAAGTTAGAAAATTTTTATTGTGATAGTGAAATTTGTTGAAATCAATTGTTATCTATTTCATTATTAATTGTCGTTTTACATTTGAATAACAACTATATTGTTACTGATAACACAAATACCGTTTCTCTCTCTCTCTCTCTCTCTCTCTCTCTCTCTCTCTTTAATTATCGCGTTTAATTTAAATGAATTGAATTTTAAAAATTATTAAATAAATTTCATGAAGTCACCTGATGCAAGTTCCCAACTCTTATTACGAATGGTACAATCTGAAAGATTTTTATTGATAATAGTTTCATTTTGTCTAGTTGTCTCAAAATTCTCAATTTCTTTCAAATCCCGAACGCTATATATTTTATCTATTTTATTCGTGCTTTTAAATTCCACTTCATCCCTTTGTTCATTTTTACATTTTTCGTAATTCTGTAATGAGTATATTTTCATGAGGTCCAATACTTTAGATTTTGCACAAGAATCATTATTTAAAAACGAGGACATTTTCCAAATTTCAGGTATAAAATTTTCGAAAAATTTAGTAAAATTTAAAATCAATTTCTCTAAAAATGTCTCTTCTAATAAATAATCTGGAAATTCCACAATGATATTAAGATTTGGAACATTCTTTAATTCTGGATACTTTGTTTCTACTTCGTTTTCAACCATTTTTAGAAAAGGTTTTGTGGATAACTTTTTCTTTTCGTTATCAAATTTTTGCTCCAAATTTTGATATATACGTCGAGCGATTTTCTGTTTTCTAAAAGCTTGAACAATTGCCTTTGCCCATAAAGAGGCCAATAGTTTTTTATGTAAATCTTTTTCATTTTTTATTAGTAAAATAAGTTGTAAAAGTAGGGGAAACAAAATTTTCTTCTCTTGTAATAAAAGAAGAAGGTCTTTCCAAAAATCTATCAGAGATGGCGGTAAACAACTTTCATCTTCGCTCAAATCTCCTTCAATGAAAATAGATAAAAGTTCTGGTTTAATTAAAAATACTTCGCTGTTTAAAATACAATCAATGATTAATTTTTCTCGTCTTAAAAGGGAATCTCCCTTATTAAAATTTTTCGATATCTCTGATAATAACAAACTTAATATTATGGAAAGTTCTGAATTAGCAGTAACCGAATATGGCATTACATTTGTACAATTCAAAAACGTTACCTTTAATTTTTTAAATAAATTATCTAGGGTTTCTCTAAAAAATATTATATAAAATTATTTTATTATCCTTATGGTTATATTGTATGTTGCATTGTAAGATTTGAAGTCTAAGTACGGTAAAAGATTAATAATATGTATGCGTATAATGAAATCGACTATTAGATTTTACCTTATTTCGGTATCTGGGAGATCTGATATAAATTTATATTTAGTTTTTATATATAAACCAATCGCTGTCCATAATTCAATTAAATCAATCAAATTCTCATCGTCTTCGGAATCAAAATATTTCGAATCATCCACAGTCTGCGATTCTTCTAAAATTTTTGCTTCTGCAGCCCAATATTCTTCCTGCACATAGAAAAGTTAATCGGGACAATCCAATACGAGCTTTCGATAATCCAAACAACGAATGGACAAAAATTTCTTTAATTTAAGAATTATATTTATTAAATTAGTTTTAACAAATTCAAAAGGAAGAAAAGCAAAATTAATACATTTATGCAAATAGCAATGATTACCAACTTATAACGTCCATAAATATTTATTATTTTTCAAAGTACTCACATGTAACCAGGTTAACAAAATATTGGAAACAATACGCATAACATCAATCGATGGTAATTCGTAACCATGCGCTATATCATGTCGAAGATCGACGATCCAGTCTGGAATATTCAATTGCTTAGCAATAGTAAATAATGATACATATTTACTATCGGCAATGTTTGAAATATGATTTAAAAATTTCATTATTACTGTCGAATACATCATTCTCAAGTCATTTTCATACAATGTAGACAATTCAGTATTGTTAATTTTTGGTATCCACTCTCGGTCTCGAAGACACACTTGAAGCAGTCCCAAAGTACATTCCACGCCAACAGGTAACATTGGTATTCTAAAACAATTGATATTAGCTTACCTTTACCCTTTAATCATAGAAGAAATAAAATAAAGCGTTCATATATACAATTAACCTTGCTTTCCAAACAAGAAGAGCATGGTATGCATTCTTCTGCTCTGTTAAATTGCCTGAGTAAATTTGCTTGTAAACCTGGAGCCATTCTTCCCTGAAAATGTTTGATTTATTTTATATGCATCGTTGAAAATCATAAAAAGTTATAGTTTTCAAATGTTCATAGGTTATAATCGTTTCACACGTGCTACACAACATACAATAGCCACTTGATCAACAATGTAATCACTTAACAATTAATATCGAATCAATTTCTATTTATAATGATGTTGTTTGCTTACACAGATGACCAAGGAACTTGGATTAAATCGCTTTGCTTACGAATGAGTGCCATTATTTATTTTTATTTACACGCCATAGGTTTTACTGCATGAGACAAGCTTATCTAAATTTCAAATGAAGTATGAGAATGAATGCGAACGATGGTATATGAAGTTTAAAATAATTTTTTTTAAAATATTTAAGTTATTTTTAATTGTGATATTTTAAAAAAAGAAAAAATCATTTTATTATCTTAATTTTTACGTATAAACTGTTTCCCATCTTACATATTATTTAAGGTTCGTAAAGGACTTTAATAACCAAGAGATTAATCGATACCTTTGACCTAACTATAGTTTTTTAAATTATTCATTGCTACTACGATTAAAAATGATTTGTTTCATTGTTATTTACTATAAAAATGTTTTACTAATCGATCGTTCGAGTTTAATTTTAATTCGTGCATTTTTGCACAAATTTTTATTGAATATAGACGAGAAAATTTTTTTTTAAATACTAAACTATACGAATACTCGTAACCAAAATTCACGATTAATAAATATAAATGTGTAAGATATTTTAATTAATATAATTAGAGTATCGATTAAGACAATATCTTTGAAAATTTATCAAACCCATATTAGAAACTATTAAGAATTATTTAAATTACGCAAAAATATACTCATGCTGAGATTAACAAACACAGGGGTAATAATAATAATACTTTTTCTTTCGTTAAAGAAAAATATTTAATAATCAACGTTACAGTGAAGTAAAATCGTTTAAATATCGATTAAAGGGAAAACAAAATTGTAATATAAATTAACAGGGACAGTAATAGAATGAATTTAATAAATTTTATCAAATTTTGCCAACAAATTGCAATTTCTATTGGACGATAAAATTTAATAGATAAATAAATCTTATAAGAGCTGTTAATGCTTATGATCGATTTATCATTTATTTGTTAACTGTATACATTGAACTTTTAAAATACACATCGGATTTTGTCGCACTTTATTAATGAATATGTTCGTTCATTTATTACTTTTCGCTGTTAAAATGGAAACAACCGATGGACAAAATGATTTACGCTGTGTTCGCTTAGAAGACAGTGGAAGTTAATACATAATCAAAAACATCTTCGTTCATGCAATTTTTTAAACGTGAACTTTAAATTTTACTTCAATCGCAAGGCTTTATACAAATGCATAATTTATTTATCATTATTGTATTCTTAATATATATATATATATATATATATATATATATATAATTTATATAGTAAATATTATCACATTTAGATTGTATAAGTCGTAGCATGTGTTTTGCATGGACATTTTTCGAGAAAACAATATCGACGTTTTTCATTATAACTTTAAATGGCAAAGTTTTCATATATTATTATTGAAAAAAAGCTAAGTACAAATATACACATACACAGAGAACAGTTTTATTTACAAAATAAGATTATGTAATTGTGAAAGAGACAATCGATGTACGGCTTTATTGTGAAAGAAATTTTTTAATAAAAATTTAATATTATTATTAAAATGTCATCTTTCGTGAAATAAGCACTAAATATTCTTTTTAAAAAAATATTTGTGGACGAGGAAACAATAGTTCAGTTATTTTTGCATGAAACACTTTGTTTGAAATTATTATTCAATAAATAGCCTTTCGCAGTAAATTTTTCTGAAAAATCTACATGCGTACTTTCACGCTCTATATTTGTATTGTTAATGTATAAAGAAAGTTTTAATAAGAATAAATGCTTTTTAATAGGAATAGATATATTTATACCTCTTCGTTAAATATTAATTTATCGCAATCAATTTATCGATCCGATAGAGTTTAAAGGCAAGTTTTTTCCAACGTTCATTGTTATTATTATTATTATATTTTTTTTTTTTTTTTTTTCGTTGTAAGTCTAAATTACGCAGTCACGCGCTCATTCACACACGCACGCACTCACGCACGCACTCACGCACGCATACACGTATTTGGGTAAAAGATTATTATTATTATATTATATAGATGTTAGAAATAGTACTTATACGCATATCACAAGAATTATCAAAATTTACTTAATGAATAAATTTCAATGGTTTTTAAATAAGGAAAACAATAAAAGATATTGTCCCAAAAGTGATTATCTCTAAATTGGCTTTGCAATCAGTCTTGTGAATGAAAACGAAATAAAACGAATTATGTAAGCGAACATTGGTGACGTATAAATTATGTCGCTTTAAATGAAAAACTTGAAAATATCCAAAACTGACAAAAATTCATTACCTTATAATGTTAAAAATTTCTTTTACAAAAATTATATATTATTTATACGGTTAAGATTATTGATTTATACAGTTAACACAGATGAAATTGACACTTTTGACAATTTTTCTACTTTCTCATGTGTCCGTCGAAAATATTTGTTAAATATTTCAAATAATTATATGATTATGAATTAGGTCAAATATTAATTTCAGAGAATTGAATTCCTACAATTTGAGATATTTAATATACTGAGGTTTTTTTTATTTTTTTTTTATTTTTTTTTTTTATTTTTTTTTATTTCATATTGAAATTAGAATAAATATCGGTGACAAATTTTATGTTGAATAGTAATGTTGTCTATTTGCGTTGCAATTTAAATATAAAAATACTTTAAATAATGCTAACAGTTTTTAAATGTCTGAATAAATAAAGATACTTTTGCAAAAACTAATAAATGTAGTGGTAACATGGTATTATGTAACAATAAATTCGCCTGATGCGGTTAACATAATCACAGACAGCTGTTTTTTTTTAGGCGTCTTACGAATAATTACAATATATCGCAAAGTTAATAATATATTCCTATTTCCATACAACAATTTGAAATTTTAAATAGTTATTGACTTCTTATATAACATCAGAAAATTCAATTAACTATTTAACTTTATCGTTGTATCGTCGTCAATTATATCATATGAATGGGCGCATAATCGATTCATTATAATTTTCCTTAGGAAGATTTTTTCATTATCTGTTTACATTTATCGTCAAACACACGTTCACAATATTGCGCGATGAAATACAATTATAATAATAATCTTACCGATAAATACCATATATATGATTTATCATATTCGCAAAACATTTTATGTCACGTACACGTGTTCACATGTGTACACATGCGTGTGCATACGTACATATGCACGTGTGTATAATTGTATGCATATTAGCATACAGAAAAATATTGGCACGGAGTTATACTGTTAGTTTATATAGGAAAATTTGAAATCCATAAATTCATAACTGTTTCCATTGAATAAATTAGTAAAACGTCGAGCGTTTTAAAAAGTATTTTTAGGATAACATCAATCTTACAACACTACAATATAACATTTAATTAGAAAAGGAGTGTTATTTGCTTCTTCTAGTATTTCTAGTTTGACTAATTTATCTGCGACGACTGAATTCATTAGCCTTGCCAAAGCTAAATCACAGCACATTATCCATGTACTTTACTTTTATATGCTAAAAAATATTAAGTTCACGAAACAAATGTTAAAAGAAAATTTTAAATTCTACATATGTCAGGAAAAATCAATCAATTAATAAATTGCAACTAGATCTCTTCATTTGTAGATACAATTATAAAATATCTTAATGTCTTTTATTGTTTTAATAGAACAAATTAATAGTGTATCATTTAAGATATTTAACGTTAATTTTCCTATTAGATTTATAATTGAGTAATAAAATTACGTCGAATTAGCTACAAATAATATTAATTGAAATTGAAATCTAAAATTCTAGCTCATAATATTGAATAAAACGTATATATAAGATAAATGCATAAATATCATGAAAAAAAAAAAAAAAAAAAAAAAAAAAAAATTTAAATAAAAATATTCAGAAAATTCTATAATATTCTATCGTTCAAATAGTGAATTTAGGATCAATATTTTAAATAATGATTTTAAATAAAAATGATTGCGCAATCAAATTAATCGATTTTAGAAATTGCTAAAGGGATTCGGATTAGTCAATTTTATGAACAATTTCATTAATAAAGTTTATGTTTTACCTTGTATATTATTTGCTAGAATTTATTAAAACAATGTTGCTTACATAAATAATTATTTATTTGAAAATATAATTAGTAAAAAGATGAAAAGTAACCATATTTAAAATTTTACAAACTTATACATTTGTATACATTATAAAAATACGATAAATTCGAAAGAAAAAAATTTTTAATCTAGTGTTATTATAATGATCTTCACGATAAAATTTTAGAAATCGACAATATATACCCTGAAAACCATGAAAATAACAAATGTTTAAATAAAAGCTACTTACTCTAGATAAAATTTTATAGTTTTATCTGCTTCTATTGACGTATTATCTATCTAGATTAAAGCTTTTAAAAAGCTAATCAATTATATCTGATTTTATTTATATCTGCATTCTGCTCAAATTTCCTTAAAACGCATATATTAATGAGGTGTTTTATGCAATAATTTTTTCTAAAATTTCACTCAAGTGACATCATATCTCTTCGTGTAATCTTTAAAGAACTTAATGATAATATTATATATTTAGTCGCATAACATTTAGCTAATATTTTCTCAAAAATTTGAAGTTGAAACCAAATTTTTGTTCTCAATACTTGAAAACGAACTTTTTTTAATTTTGTTTCTTACATTTCCTGTTTCAAATTTCGCACTTATCAGTCTTTCATAAAGCTAATGAACTCGTGCATTAAAATAAATAAATACAAACAAAAACAAAAAACAAAAAACAAAAAACAAAAAACAAAAAAACAAGAAAAAAACATAATTAGGCCTTAATTCTTTCAAAACAATAGTTTTATCATTTCTGTTAGTAAGCACAGCTATTATTCGTAATCCATCCACACACACACACACACACACACACACACACCTCTCCCACCCTCAAATAAGTTGACTTTATAAAATATTAATAAAGATTCATAATTATTTAATTAATGTTCTCTTTTTCTTTTAAAAGATATTAGCAGTCAAGTTATTAAAAGTATATCAAATTTGAATTATAATTTAATCATCACGAAAGTATTGGACATTGGTTAGTGTGATTAATCATTATCACATAAATCGTTAAAGTTAAATTATGTATGTTTTCAGAGCTTATTGAAATTCATAAAACCAAATATATATTTTAATTACTGTCATTTAGTGCTACATTACATTCAAGTACTGCATATATCAATTAGACCTTAGTTGTAGAACATCAAAAAGAATGGTACTTAATCTCATTGTATCGTGGAATTAACCAATTCGCAGTTGTATTTAAACGAAAATGCATTAAAAAATATATATTATATAGTCTTTCTTATTGAACTATAAGAATAATATCACTCAATCATCACAATTAATTGTATTGCAATAGAAATGTTTATGTTTTTTAAAGCACTGAATTTGTCCTAAAATTAATATCAACACTGTACTTATGTACCTTACATTGTGAGGAACAAATAAAAATTTCTATACGTTATCCAAGAAGATTGAACAAAGAGAAAAATTCGGACGGATGCATATGTATTAAATTTTGGAATTGTGTATAACGCGTATGCATACATCGAAGAAAAAAAAACAAAAAAAAAAAATCCTATCTAGATTTTTTAATTATTTCCCTTTCCATTGCTATATCCATCCGTTTTATTCATAATATTGCGTCTAAGAAATAATAATTTTATTATTCGCATATATATATATATATATATATATATATATATATATATATTGTGTTCTTAAATTTGTGCAAAAAAAAAAAAAATTGAAACTTTACAAAAAACATAATTAATTATTAGGATAGGAAATATCTATCATTATCAATTGTTTTGTTCTCAAACGAATATAAATTCATTGTAAATTGCTTTAAAATCATCTTCACTTTTGTATTTATATATATATTTATTTTTTTTTTTTTATTCTTTGTTATTGTTGTTGATATTGTTGTTATTTCCCATCAAAACCACTAAGATTTATATGAAACTGTATTTTAATATGATAAAACTTATCTTCTATATACTTTAAAATTAATATATAATATTATTTTCTTCATTCGTTTATTCATTGAATGATTCATACTTTTCTTTCAATTTTCTAATATTGTTGATATTGGCATAAACTTATGGAATCTTTTATCAATCCTTATTTTTCATTTGGAGTTTCGATAATATCAACTTTACTTACTACTTTACTTAATAATAAAAATCGACAATTGTATATTGGAAAGAAGAAAACGGAATTACGGCATTTTATCATAGTCTATTACCGTGATTTGTAAAATATTCGTTATCACGATAACGATGTTTTTATTGACTTTTCCATGCCTATTTTAATATCTAAATCTACCGCAAATTCAAAAGAAAGTGACGAGCATAAGAGCACAACAAAACATTACAACAATTAAATAGGCATAATCGTTAAAAAGAATTCTATTTCTACATAATTCAAGGAATCTCCAAATTAGGGTTCTAATCATTAATACTCGTAACAGTCTTTTATTCTTCAGCCATTGCTTGTCTTATCTAAAATAATAATCCTTAATTCTTTAATTTATCATACAAGAAATCAATTGAATGTTACTATATATATATATATATATATATATATATATATATATATATATATATATATATAAGTATAAGTGTGCGTGCATAAATAGTGCATTCGATTAAGCACCGTAAACTAGTGGAAAAGCTGTAATCGATAATTAATCGATAATGCATTTGCTTAACAGCAATACTGTAAGGTAGAAAATTTATTTCAAATATAGACTGAAGTATATCCACTGAAATGCGATATATTCATATACGAATGGAATGGTTTTATGAAGTAAAGAGTCGTAAGTCGTACGAATTAAATATGTAAATTAGAGTCCCTGTTACATAATGACATCGCATAGTCGTAATTTTTTCATTCCACTATGCTATTATATATAAATTTGTTTTTTATTTATTATAATTTTCACAGTTTGAAACTTTCATGTAGGTAATTCACGAATTATTATACCCATAGATAAAATTGTACACGATTTTTGAGAATTATCTTTCAAGATGGTTTTCAAAAATACAGGAAATTCTATGTCTTAATTGAGACGATTGTATTGTAAATTAGATTATCTGAATTTCAAATTGCACAATGGCATACGTTTAAAAGATTAAAATGACCTTTTCAACGTAAGGTACTGCGAATGAAATTTTTATTTTAATTGATTATCTCCTACTCAAGCGCCACTCGCAACGCCCATAGAGAGTAGTAAGTAGCCTATCATTAAGAAATCATTAATCGACATGGTTTTTTTGTTTATTGGTTTATTTATTTTTGTCTTGTTTTCTTTTTTGTTTTTTTTGCTTGTTCTTTCTCTCTTGCTTTTTTTTTTTGTTAATTAATTCAAATTCAAATCAAACAAAACGAACATAACAAAAAAAAAAACCACCACCAATTAATTAATTTGTTTTTTTAATCCATTGAAAACGATGCCCATTGGAGCTAAAGTATTGGCGAATTTGCGAAACTTGCAAGCTTAGACGTATTCGATCGATTAATAATAAAATTGCCTCACCTCGAAAAGTTGCCGCAAAATATTTAACGACTTAATTGTATATACATCGTATACTTCTAAGTCCGATTCACCTTAAGATTTTCTAATATCTCATTAAAGCTCACCCAATACAAAGCGTCGTCTATTGCATATAATTCAATTGATTTGTGAGCGAAACAAGTTGCAAAATATCATGAGAGCGCGCCCTGAAAAGTCCAGAAGTCCAGGTTTGGCTGGTGCATCGTAAAGCAGCCTCTCGCACCTAGAGATCCCTCACCGCATACGCTCCTTACTGTCCTCTAGGCCAAGTCGGAAGAGATATGGACGGTCGTCGTTGGCTCCTCACCCGACACCTGGTGCTTAGGCGCGATAAACATACCACGCGGACTGAAGGTGTCGCAATAAAGGTTCTCCTTCTTGTGGACGCGGCGCACGTGGCTGCGCAGGTTGTCGCGGCGTGCGCTCCGGTAGGCGCAGTGCGGGCAGAGGTGGGGCTTCTCCCCGGTGTGCATGCGTCGATGCTGGATCAACTGTTGACAAGAGATTATCATTGCGTTTGCAACTGCTCTCCAGTGTTACTTTTGTCGTGGAGTCACGCAAACTTCCATAACCATCACTGACCATTCGTAAAGCTCGTAAAATAAGCGATTCGAAAATAGCGATCGTTAAAATTTGCGAATAATCAAAGAGTCTGCGTTTCTTTCAGGATTGCAATAGGTTGCCCGCGACGAGATAGGTTAACCGCTAATAACTGGCAACCCGATACAACCATGACTCTTTTCTACATAGATTTCTATGTTAAGGAATCTGAATTTATTATCTTAACTCGTTTCCATTACCGTCGATCTCCTCCTCCTCACTCCTCCCCCCCCCCCTCCCCCCCCCCACACAATCCTCAACCGCAATTTTACGATTATTATTTTCTAAATGCCAATTATTTCTATTGCTCGAGGCAAGGCATCGAGAGTGCGGGCGGCAGACCTACCTTTTTCAGTTGCACTGTGCGAAATATGCAGATGTCGCAACAGAAGTAGCGGTTGTCCCGGTGGCGGCGCATGTGCTTGCTGAGATCGACCTCGGTGGAACGATCGGCCCCGCAGACGGCGCAGCTCACGCGACTTTCGCTGGCGGTGCCCCGGGCGTGGGCTCGCAGGTGCCTCTGGAACGCCTTCTCGATCGTGCATGCGTAGGAGCACAGCGAGCACCGGTACTCCTCCCTCTCGTATCTGCCGCACAATCGCACATACATGTATAACTTGGCTGGATTCGATCATTTGGACACTCTGTTGAACCCCTGACAAACCGCTGACCAATTTACAATAAGCCCATTCGTCACGATTAATTACCCTTAACGAGCGTGTTTAACGCCCACGCCGTCAGAGTTTTTCATTTTGTTGCGATAATTCCCAAGTGGAAATAGGATTTCCGCTTAAGAATTTTCAAACGATTGTGACATTTATTTATATATCGTCGAATGAATAATATTGCATATTAACTCCTCTATCATGGACATCTCGGAATTATGAGAAACTTAAATCTGTGCATCTATTCGGGATTAGGTATAGCGGTAAATTTGAGCTAAACTCACGGTCAAAGGATATTGGCTCACTTGTGAAACAAATCCCGTTCAGTCTACTCGTTCGCCGATCCCGGTAAAATTTCTCGGTAAAATGAATCGAACACCTTGTTACTGACGTCCACGAGTCTCGAAAGACAAAGTTCCAAATACCGTTCACTTATTACTACTGGTCAATTTAGTCGTTGAGCAATAGTGAAGATCGAGTACCTGTACCTGACGCGCTGTAAGGCGAGCGAACGCTTTTTCCCCTGGGAAGTCGCCGATGAAGTGTCCGAAGAGGAGGCCTCCTTGTCGTTGGTGGATGCTGGCGTCGGCCCCGTCGGCTCGTTCGCGCGCCTCTTCTTCGTTCGCGTCGCGGCACTCGTCGGTGTTTGGTGAACACCGGCACTCGGGCTGCTCTCCCTCGAACTGCGGACAATATTGGCTTTTGTTCTTCATTCCGGCTCAAGTGCACGAATAAATGTGACTTCCCGACCAAATGTACAAGGAAGGCGATGAGAATAATAATCGTGTTTACATTCGTCGGTTGTAGGGGACGGGATATTGAGGGGTGGGGGAGCGAGGGGGGGGGGAGAAGGAAAGAGGAATTTGAATAAATAATTATTAATTAATTTATCTGGATTCTGATGCATTTAGCTTTGCATGAAATTTATCACTTAGTAAGTATCGTGTGCTTATAAATATTTTAGAACAACGTTTATATTCGAGGATATTTTTGTCAGTTAGAAGAGCACAACCAAATTGTTTAAATATTGGGAATTCAATTTTTTTTTTGTTTTTTTTTGTTTTTGTTTTTTGTTTCTTTGTTTGTGATTCGGCCCATAAGTTCCATATATTGAGAATAATAGAGAAGGTAATTTACGATTTAGCGCATATCACTGTAAATAGTTACACAAACTTATTCGGCATATGATATAAATAATGTTATAAAGTTTTTCTTTTCAATATCGAATCCATTATTGTCATGGCATAAAAACAATGATAATGCTTCTTAAGATGCTAGAATCTTGTCATTGGTGCAGCAACTAAATAGTAAAGTTGGAAACATTAAATATTAGTTTAAATGTACTTTTTTCCCAGAAGCAAATTGCGATTATGAATTCTTCAAATATTCATCGTATCACATTATTATATTTCATCCTTGATTAAGAAAATTGCTGTTTCACGTGCTGTTTCAGCCACGCCACACAACAATGATAAGTCTTCCTTACATATAAAAAAAGAAAAATGAAAAAAGAAACACACACCCTCCCCTCTCCGCCACTTTTATGATATGTTTATGTGTACTAAAGCGCGCGAAAATATGACATGGCGGAAAGTAAAGATTATGCCGGTAAAATAACGAATAAGGTAATGATGTCTGACATGGGATGAAAAATGTGTATAGTATCTTAGCACATTCTTGAGGAATACTATAATTTCGGAAATATAAAATGTTCTTCCTTATTTATGTCAGCGGAATTTCATAATGCCGGATAATCCGATTTTTTAAGTGTGCGATAAAAAATATTGTTATTAAATAATTGACCTCGTTAAGGGTTTGACGATTTTTGCTAAGTATAATGTTCTAAAGCTCCTGTCACGCTCGTGTAGATATTATGTAAAAAAAAACTGCATCGTTATTATAAAAAGTTGCCGAATGTTATTTATTATACACATGTGTGTATACTTGAAGGTGATTATTAATTATGCAGTATAATTATATAATGAAAAATACAATTATAAAAATTATAAGTACAAGCAGTTATAAAGAGACGAACTCTGTATAATCAAATTTTTGAAAAAGTATACACAGAATATCAATTAAATCTATTTTATTTATCTTTCATGTATGAAGCGTTACATTGTATGCAAACGTATAAAAGCAATTAAAACACATGACTAATTAATATCTTAGTGATTGCACATTATTTGTATATTATATGCAATTATATTATTGACATTATGAAATATGTTTAGGACTTCAACTTTACTGTCGACTTTTTTCTCTATATATATGTATGTGTGGGTTTTTGTGTGTGTGTGTGTGTGTGTGTGTGTGTGTGTGTGTGTGAGCGCGCGGGCGTGCGTGTATAAATACGTATCTCATTCTTTAACTTCACATCTACGCTTCTCAAAGAGAGGGTCGAGATGGGATTGAAAGGGGACGCGGAAAGGAGGGAGAGTAACAAGAAGAAAAAGCAAACGAATAATGGTTAGAAATGGGAATCTGCAGCAACTGTTTCCGAGCGCATGCGCTTAAAGTTTATTTCTCATAATCATTTGGACTGTGTTAAATCGTTCTTAAGTCCTTTCGGCATTACATGTAATTCTGTAAACTAGGAGAAAACTAAGAAACATTCAACGGATGGGAGGAACTTAAAAGTGATGTAATGGATCGTTAAGAATTCGAAACCTTTTCCGATAATGAAACGAAGCGCAAAATAAATAAATTGAGATATGATAGAAAATCAAGATCTTTACTCTTTATATTATCTCAATATAATTCTATTTAATTTTGATATTAATCTTATTATTAATATATTGTTTGGTTAAAATGCATAATATTTTAATGTTTACAGTTAACAAAAATGTTTTATTAATATATTGTTATTTAGAAGCTACTGTCAATATGTAATATCGATATAACTGAAAAATATAAGTTGAAAAAAGATATTTTTAAAATGTCATTTTAGAGAGAGAGAGAGAGAGAGAGAGAGAGAGAAAGAGAGTTTGTTCATTTAAATTATAATTTTTCACTCGTAGCGGTATTTTCATTTGAAATAAATTTGTTCCGATACATATGAAATACAATGCGGAAATTTAATTATAAAACAGAAATTTAAAAAAGGTATAAATTTATAAACACGTACTTGATATTTGAAGAGACTGCCTTTTATCTTTTGTGCACAAAAACCGTCACACAAATTGGACGTTCAGCTTTAACAATATTCCACCATTAAATTCCTTTTTGAGATTAAATAACCAGATAAAATTTGGTATTCCGGGTCACAATGATAAAATAGATTTTGAATAATTTTTCAATATAAAAATAAAAATATAAAAATCAACGGTGAATCCCGTTTCATAGTTCATCAATTTGCGTTAAATATTTAAAAATTATGTTCATAATCGAATTCTCACTACCTTAAAATTTTAACCTCCCGGAATATTAAGTTAAACCTGTATTTCAGTATAAATATATGCATAGATTTTATTTTTAAATTACATCGTAATTATTATGATTGATTTAGAATGAAAAATATTCAATTACAAAATGAACGATTACATATTATGATATATTCCAGTCACGTGTCCAGCCAGGAAATATACACCTTTCTATCAATAATCCGTACACGTTGAAATTTCGGTAAACATTAATGAAATCTATTATTAGAAACAATGTTTTTTTTTGTTTTATTTTTTTGTTTTATTTTTTTGTTTTTTTTTTGTTTTTAATGAACTAACACAACCAAAATCTATATGCTATTGGACTGATTCAACAGTAATATTTGCCTTATTCGAAGATGCAAAGTTGATTTCGACTGATGTGGAAGTGGAATGCGACAAGTTGACCAAACGAGCTAAGAGAACCACTACGATGAAACTTTTTATCTATCAATTATGGAAGCTATTTACAAACTTGATAGCTTCTCATAAAGTAAACAAAATAATATAAAATACGAGAACTATAAAAAATCAATACAATGTATAATAATTTTTCTTGACTACCTTCGAATCATATTATATGTCATAAGATAGTTAAACAATATAACTTTCGACAATTTTTACAATATGATTATTATTATTTTTATTAAATATTTCAAATACATTTATATGTATAGATAGATATATAGGTGTATCATTTTTTTTTTTATTTTTTTTTTTTTTGCCTATTAATACTTCTAGTTGGTATTACAATCGAGAAAATATATCAAACCGAGCCAATAAATTATTATTTCAACATTATTAATACAATCAGATGAACAAAGCTCACAAAAAAACAGATTATGTTATAATTTAATCATTATAAATTTAATACTTTCATTAATTAGTTAATTAATGTATTATTCCTTAATAAATATCGTATTTAAAAATACTATCTACAATATTATTGCAGTGAAATGGTATCGATATTAACATTCGAATGTTAATTGAATATTGTATTTTATTCGTTAAGAATGAAAGACGGATATTTAAGATAAAATTTAATTACTTTACAGCCCGGAAAACCATTTTAAAATATTATGTAGCAAACTTTATTATCGATTATTTTATATCTTATTCTGAATCTCAATGATTTAATGAAATGCATTAATTAATGGTTTTTATTTGATAATACATCAAGTATAGGACATTGATGAATTATCTATTAATACTAATTTATATTTAATTATAAATTCAGTAAATTCCCATGTATTCTTATCGACGACTTAATAAACTGTTATAATAATTTTATAGTATATTTATTAATATCCAATATGATAGATCCGGGAACAGTCATTACTTTAAATTATTTAAGATTTACTATATAATATTTGCTATAATATTTGCTTAATATTATGAAGCAAAATTTTTATTCCAACGTTTAATGAATATGTTTATTATGATTAAGAGGAGAGAGTTTGAATCGATACAATACTGATAATTAATTGTTAATTAATTCTTTCTTCTTCATGAAATACGGCCTATTTATAATTTGACGAGTCAATGAAACATTGTATGTGCAGTAAATTAAGGTTACAATTAACATTTATTACATTGATAATTTCATTAGAAAATCAGAGGGCAGTGGCGTTGATGTTGCAATAGTAATATACAAGAAAATTAAAAGAAAGCAGAGTTTGAATTACTGAAATAATTAATAAAGTGATAAATTATAACATTTATAAAATAAAAACATATTGCTAGAGAAAAAATGGAATAATCATTCTTCAATGAATATTAATTGTATCTACTCGTAATAAAATCATTAGTAATGAAATAAAATAATATGTTTATTTAAATATAGTTTAATGCTACTATATTAATTAAGATTATTGCTTATGATTTTAATAATCTACGATTTATCAAGTTAATTATATTGTTTACAATTTCTTTTAGAAATGTAATTGTTTAAATTAATTTGCATATTTTAATTTGCCTTTTTAATAGAAAGATAAAATGAATAATAAAAAATTTATTATCAATACTTAAAAATTTTTTCTTATAAACATATTGCTTTAATGAAATTTTTTAAATAAAAATTCAATGCTACATGTTATTTGCACCAGGTCATACTTCGTCTTTATATAATATTGTTTATTATAAATTTGTATTGTAAATTAAAAACAAATATAAAAAATGGAAAAAAAACTACATTTTCTGCAGCTTAAAATATATTTTAAACATGAATTTTATGTAACATTTGTTTATAAAGTACTATTCTTAAATGTTATTTTAGATACACAAACTGTAATAATGCCAAATATATTAAATAATTTATTGTCCATCTTATTATCCATTTCAATAGTATTATTTAGTTATACTGATAATAGTTCAATTTATTAATGAAATCTCCATAACATAAACCTTCAATTTTAATTAATATTGAATTGCTTATGACTAATGATAATTCTCATGATTATTTAATTTCAGCTATTTTATATTAAAGTTCAATATGATTTACTACTACTTCGATCTTCTTCTATTTATATTCTAATTTAAGATTGTACAAATATTACTTCCAGTTAAATAAAGAAATGCAGAATTTGGAAAGACTTTAATATGAGACTTATAATGAAAGCCATAGAAGCTAATTATTTAAATAAGAATCTAACTCTGTTATTTAAATATTTTAATCTTAATTGTTGTGCACATTAAATGATATTGTATATATATATATATATATATATATATATATATATATAGGTATAAAAGGTAGGGAAAAGGTATGAAAAGTTTATCTTAGTTATCTAAGTAATTACTTGGATCGATTACCTATTATGGTAGTATAAGTTACCATAATGACTTTAATAAAAAAACTATGTAGAAAATATTTTATTGCAAAAACTGAAACATCAATATTTGCTAGACATTAACTGCAAATATTACTTCTGAAAAGTTTAAATTTAGCCTACATAAGTCTTGTGTGCTAAAAATGAATGAAACAACAATGAGGAAAAAGTTTGAAGGAAGAGTAATAGTTTACTTTTGTTTTTCAAATTATGCGAAAGAATTTGTACCTATATGGCATCTTTATATTGTGTCGATAATAAAGTAAATTTAGTCAATTTAATATGATTCGCCAAATAGTCATTTATTATTCAATGTTTAACTTGTTTCGCGTACGAAGAACAAACACCAGACGAGAAGTTGGCTTAAAAACATCATTTAGACAATTCATGATTGTTCATTTTTCTAGATATTATTTTTACGAAACAAAACAATGATGATAGATACAATATTGGTGAATATGTATAATTTTAAAAACATTAATAAATCAAAAGCGTCACATGGACGAATCGATTAGTTCATCCCTTTTTTGGATGCAAGCGTACAATTACTGACATGGACAATAATTCTACGCTCCCTAGCTGGTTTTAAAATAATATTTTCTATTTAAAAACTTGATCGATAAAGTATAATGATACTAAAATGAAATTTCGTATATAAATGCTTATCGGGTTATTCAAATTGTATATTTCTGACTTTTATTGCATCGGTTATTATAATAATCCACCATTTTCATACGTTTTTCGTCATTCGATGATTGTAAATCACACGATGAAATACAATTCTTATAATTGAGGTATTAATTTCACCATAACATAATTTATAAACAATATATTAGGATATCTATATGACTCGTGGAAAATAATTATTGCGATAACATTGTACGTATTACTTTAGGCACGCACGCACGCGCGCACGCGCGTATATGTATTGTCTCGCAAGACGATAAATCTAATCTTCTAATCCTCGAAATTACCCAATATTTGCTCAATTAAGCACACTACACGCAGACATAACTTTAATTGAAAACAAAACTCACATCATATCCGTGTAGGAGGAGCGGTCACTCTCGGAATCGCTCCCCGATGCAAGATTCGAGTTCTCAGCAGCTTCAAGGGCGGCCGTCGCAGCCGACAATCTGCCCAGCATCGACGTGTAAGCGCTCAGCATCCATCCGCTCAACACCGGCATCGGCGTGTCCTTCTATGAAACGGCACAAGTCCTTTGGCGATTAGCGTTATTCGCGAATTGCCGTGATTTTATTTAGGATATTTGTACTTTGGTTGCCCCAGTGCTCGGGACCGCTACATATACAAAACTGCATAGTTTTCAGAATCACGAATGAAAAGAGCTCGACTGAATCTTGTGAAAATTGCTAGGTACAGGTTCCTAGAGATGGGAAAGTGCGCTCTATCGATATATTGTTCTTACAATCGTATCAGCATGGTATTACAAAAAATGGCTCCCAAAAAATATTTATTAAATAACTGCGTCACTTACTTATTTAAACGTTACAATTTACTTATTTTTATAATGAATTGGAGTGTGAAGAGGGGGCGGGGGCGAAGGGTTGTATAACAAAAACAACGCGAGCAAAGGAATGTCTTACTAAATGCAGATGCAATAGAACAATTCGTTTAAGTATTTCGAATTGTTTCGATAATGAAAATATCTGATCGCGGGCTACTCGGTTCGAAATATTTTCTAGTAAATATTTTATCGACCCTATTTACAAAGGAGAAATCATTAAGAATTCAATTATACAATAATTAGTATGTAATTTGAAAGATATTTATTAAAATGAGAAAAGATAACAGAAGAAAAAAACTTGCAACAAAAAAATAATACGGTTATGAAATAATGTATAACTGTACGGTTCATTCATTCATTAATCAGTGATAATAATACAAATAACGACTATTACAAATCAATATTTTGTTAAAGCAAATAAAAAAAAAAAATTCCCACGTAAATAAATATTTTATTCGTAATTAATAATGTTACAAAATAGCTCTTCCATAAAGCCATTTTTGCTGAAAAGCATTCACTGTTAATGCAGCAAATGATTTTTACAATAATATGCCAATAATATTAATGTATCATAATAATAAATTTATATTGCGCTTGTATTCTGATTAATACAACATTAATATTTTAAGCCACTACCATTCGATATTTTCATAAATGAACTGTCCTCTATGCGTTAAAATATGCTTCAGAATGTGGAAAGTTATTAATTTCAAAAGTAGAACGAGTAATCGGGAAGCCAAATGGGTTAAAACACTTTAAAATTTAACACGACATTTATCTCGACGTTAGCGAGCAAAATTTTCAACGAAACAAAGCTTATCTCAATAATTATTTATACTATCGTTAATTTAGTCGACTTTGAGCAATATTATCGGGTAATAAGATGAAGCTGAATCCGTACAAGAAATAAAAAGTATAAAAATAAACGTAATGAACTCGCCAGAATATTATATACCTACGATCATCGTTTCCCATATTGGCTCACCAAAAGTCCACATCCAAACGTCGCGAATATTATTATTAATATAACATCGTCTCACACTACGGTTACCTACCCAGCTTTCAGCGCTGGCCTCGTTCTCCTCCTCCTCCTCCTCCTCCTCCTCCTCCTCCTCCTCCTCCTCCTTCTCCTCCTCATCCTCATCCTTCTCCGTCTCCTCCGCCTCCTCCTCCACATCCTCCGCCTCATCCTCCTCCTCATCCACTTCTCCCTCCTCATCGCCCTCATCATCGTCATCATCTTCCTCCTGTTCCTCGTACTCGTCGTCTTCATCGGGTCGTGTTTCGTCATCGGGCTGCGTTGATCCGCCCATCCCTACGTCGACTCGACCCTCCTCCCCGTCAGCGGAGATACGCACGTCGTCGTCGTCCTCCTCCTCCTCCTCCTCATCCTCCTCGTCGCGCCTCCCGGACTTTCGCGCGAGTTCAATCGCCACGGCGCTCGACTGCAAAGACTGCAACGAGTTCAGGAAGAGGGCGGCGCTGCTCGGCAACTGGTACGCCGTCGCCAGGGGATTCGTGTATACGGCGCTGGCCATCGCCGACTCGAGCCAACTGCTCGGCGTCGGACCGCCACCGTTGACGCTGAATCCGTGGCTTCTGATCCCATATTCCATCTGCGTGTCAATGAGGATGGATAGTCGTGAGTGTTGGACTATCGTGGTGAGATACGGATTGAGTCGAGTAGAAAGCTCGAGATGTTTTACGACATTCCCGTAGCAATGCCGATCGGAAAGGTAAGGAAGCACCGACTATGAGTGAGAAGCCAAGATATGCTCGATAATGCTCGTCATGAAAATTACAGTTTGTTGCGGTATGATAACGGACGTAATTGTAAGATTTCGTTAAATTTTTGCAAAGTGTGAGTCGTATAGGGCTTCTTAGGGCGATTGGCGTGCCGTTCGAGTCAATATTCCTGATTCATTCCAAGTACTGCGGTAACTTTATGTAAAATATATCTGCAAGCTCTTCTCGATCTCAATACAAAGGCTTTGGCTTCATTGAAAGAAAGGGGAATCTTAACAAACGGCATCTTATAAAACGCGCCCTCTTGTAAAAGAAAACTTCACGACTAATGGTACCGTGGATAAAGAGAGATATATAAAGAAAGATATATGTATATATATATATATATATATATATATATATATTTAAGCGAAAAGATTGAATATAAAGTAAATTGAGTGTATTTTATTTTTAGACTGATTTTTATAATGCAGTGTTGGAATAATTTTATTTATACACGCGCACACACACACACACACACACACACACACACACACACATATATATATATATATATATATGAGAATCAATTTAGATAAAAGAAATAATATTTTATGAAAATCAATATCCATTTGTTGACTGGCCAAATCACATACTTGTAAATTTTGTAATATATATATATATATATATATATATATATATCGAAATTATTTCAGTTGCTAGGAACGAGATATTTGCTTTTATCATGAAACGAGTTCAGCGTGTTTAATTTTAAATATCTTTATATTTAACCGACAACTAATAGTTTATTACGTACTAAATTTACTAGTAGTCGATTATATCATGAACGTCATAGGGAAAAACTCTTGTTTCTTATATTTACATTTTTATTCAGTTTCCTAAAAATAATCCTAAGAAAAAAAATAATAATAAGTTTTTGTAATGCTCGTTGAAATTATCTGTCATCTGACAAATCCATACAAGAATTAACATCAATACTACATTAATTTTCATTGGTAAAAATTAGTTAAATAATAATTATGAATGAAAATTTGAAAATTTATGTGAGCCTATAGAAATACTTATTATCAAATACATAATTTGAAAATTATGTACCTGCATATGTACAGTTTACATAATTATCCAGAAATATAAGTATTATTACAATAAAAAACAATAATCCTTTTAATAATTAAATCTACTCTAAAATACTGTATAATTACAGTATTTGCAATTCAATGTATTTGAGATCAACTATTGTTCTATATTCATTTCGAATTTCGAATATTGATTAGAAAAATTATGGAATTTATATAAAATACTATGCGATAGATTTTAGTTAGAAAAATATTGAAGTGCGTTAATTTTAGTATTTTCTATTCTGCATATTTAGAGATTGAAATCGAAATATTGAAATAATTTAATAGTATTGACATACCAAAAATAATCATATATGTAGATATATATATATGTGATATATTTGCTCCTTTATATTTGTCCGATTAAAAATGTTGCTAAAATGTAAAATGCATTATTCTAATATAACATTAACATCGATTGCAATAGATTCTTTCGTATTATTTAGTTATTTCTTGTATGTGAGGTCGTATATTTTCTTTACGCTCTGTACTTCATCAATTTATTACACTTTTAACTATCTCTTATAATTGTGCCACTTCAAATTATTTTTTAATAAAGCTCTCGGATTGTTAGTTATACTGTATAATTTTCAAAATGGTATTCATTATGAGTTACCCATAAGAATAGTATCGAATCAAGAATAATGGAGTTAACTTAATTATATTGATTTTCCATTCTAACAATATTCCATTTAGATAATTTCTATGATATCAATGCGCGTTTGTATTAACTCTATCTATTGAATAATCGTTCATTAACTGTAAATATAAGGGCAATCAGAATTGCCAGCCAATTTTTATATAAGATTCTGAAAATTTCTAGATCATTATAATATTGCTAAATAATATTTACTTCAATGTTGATATAAGAATCTTATTTTTGCAACTCAATTTGACGGTATGATATTTGCTATATAAATTATGAGCTCGTATTAACTATTATAATATAAAATGTTAAAAAATAATAATAATCTATAATATTTAAATTTAATTATAATTTTGGAAAAGATAAAATTTATCAAATTAATCGTGTATTTACATATTATTTTTCCATTACCAAATATATTGCGATATAATTTGAAATTCAATGATAATGGCTTTTTTGTGTGGGGTAAATTGTAGTAAAAAAAAAAAAAAAGGAAAAATAAAGGTAGACAGTTTTTTTTTTTACAAATCTTATAATAAATATTTCGTGTGGAGTATCATAGAAATATTGTATCGAAACATTAGTTTCCAAATAATTCATCAGACATCTGTAATAATTAATTATTTTCTATTATCTTACAATGTTATTTCATCTTTTATCACATTTCACCTGCTATAAGATAATAAAAAATTGTACGAAGTTATAATAAAAAGCCATTAATTATTTAAAGATCAACATTATTTGATGGTCTCGACAACTTGAATAATGAAATTTCTCAAACAAAATATTAGAAGAGTAATAGCAATTGTCATACATGTCATCCAGACATATTTTACCTTTTGGCTACGCAACTCAACGGAACTGTCCGTCCATACATCTCATCGTGCTTCCATTCGACTCGAAAATGACTATCATTCTCGTTGTTTAATGACGAATAACGTAAACAAAATAATACATCATCCGCAATAACTTCGCGAAATATAAAGAACGCGATGGAAAATTACCGTTGTGTTTTATCAACATCATTGAAGAATCAGTAGAGAACAGTCGAAAAAAACAATTGGGCAAAGCATAAGCATTGGATTCCGAAAAACCAGGTCCAATACGAATCGCGTTATAGGACGGTCACATAAGGGAATAATTCCTTAATGATGATTCACCCGAGTCTAATATACTTCCTTACGAAGAGCCCCAAGGGCCTACGAAAGAAGAGAAAACTACGAAACTTGAGCGGTCGACGAAAATTGTCGATGCAGCTGGTGGATAAATAAGGCTCGAGTCCCCTAAAATTTCTCATTCAATCTCTGTCTCGCTCTCATTTGTAAAAACCATACTGTTAAATATACTCGTTATATCGATTTATATCACAATTCTGGGATTATATAACATAATACTAAAAGCCCATATATTTCAATTCGCATAATTTTTGATAATTTTCTCGCTTTAAAATTTAATATTTATCAGATAAAAATATATTGAAGTTATTGAATGAATGAATTCACTTAAATAATATACTACTTTCTTTGTACATTAAAAATTTTTGATAAAATCTAACAAATATATGTTCTTCGTTAATTTTTATTGTTTATTTATTATATTGCTGCTTTAACAACAACAAAAAATATATAACATCGATTTTAGTTACTTAGCTATAAATTCGTTTTATTTCGGCTTTATATTATTTAAATTATATGTAAATATAATTACGTATTCATTAAATTTATAATTAGTATTTAAAATACAAATATAAAATTAATTCATGTTTGACCGCATCGCGATTATACTACTGATATTCTATTTCCACTCCTATATACTTAGTTCCATAGAACTTTAAACATTCAAACAATGTATTATCAATTTAGTAAATGACACATTTATTCACATATTATATACATAATTAATTAGAATGACAATTAAATTAATGAATTCAGTGAAATTTGAATAATATATAGAGTTAATCCAGTCAATAAATATGTGTCCTACAAAGTTTGATTTTCAAATAAGAAAAAGAATCTTATCATTATAAAACCGTACCTTTAATTGAAAAAATAAAAATATAATATAACTTTATTGACTTATATTATTCTCATTATGTATAGTTTAACAACATCTAAGCAATACTTATGACTTTAAAACATCTTATTACAAGCATTTGTACGTTGTTTGTAACTTATTACAAACGCGCGAATATTTTTACATATCAGGTCATGATTTTATTAAATATTTTCGAAAAACATTTTCACAAAATATTGTATAAAATTTTTTAAAATTTCATACAATACAAAAATATTAGCTTGCAATTTATTCCGCGTTATAATTATAAATTTATTTCAATTCCTAATGACCGATCATCGATTTTTCAATGTGAATAAAGAAAACATTTTTTTTTACGTATTAGAGATTATTAGATGGATACTATAGATAATCGTGGCAAACATTATATTATTATTCAATATTTCTGGCATTCGAACCGATGAATAATAATGTGCATTAAAAAAAATAAATAATCAATAATTTCAATGGAAAGTTCGAGATATGTCGAATAACGTATATATTATAAATTTTAATAACATCCTAAGTTAAAAAATCATTTCAATATAATTTATTTATTATTTTATTTTATCATTAGATATTTAGATATTACAATATCTAGTGTATATATGCCTATATAGTGTATTAAAAATTAAAACAATTATAACGAATGATTATTTGCAAAACTTTGCATATAACATATCGTGAAATATTAGATAATAATTTGTAAATTTTTAAATAACATTTATAATATCGAATTATATTTTGAATTAATAATTACTCTTTTCAAATCATCATACACACACACACACACACACACACACACACACACACATATATTTATTTATTCTAGCAAGTATCTTCCTCCTTATTATATATACATTAATAATTATAATTAAAATTTTTTCCGCAATTTCTCGAGAAAAAACATTAAATTTTTATAAAGATAAATATACTATAGTATTATTATCATTGCCTCTCTATGACGAAAATAAGATACTACCTCGTACATATCCGCGCATGCACGGTTGAGTGGAGCACAAAGACCGAGTTGCATTTGTAATAATCTCTTTTCATCTTGTTTATTTTCCCTCCCAAGTCAATAAATACAAATTCGCATAAGCATATAATCTCAGGCTAATTGCAAACCTAATGGCAACGAATCACTTTAATTCCAATAAAGAAACTTCAGCTCAGATTTAATAAGATTATTAAAAATTTTCGAATACTCGATAAAACAATGCTTTATTGTTGGTCGAACAACAGATCGTTCGTCGATATAGACGCCCGCGCTCACGCACAAATACGTGCATATGCGCTTTTCATCGTTTTCGTTCAATGGTGAAAGCGCGCACACATGCATGAATATTCAGAAGCAAAATACATTAAACTCGCGCGTGTAGATGCTGTTCGTGTGTGCAGGCGTTTAGGTGTGTGTAGGCGTGTTCAGGTGCGTCTGTGTAGGTGTGCCTGGGTAAGTGCGAGCGCGCGTGTGTGTATGAGGTTGGGAGGGAGGGGGGAATACATGCATCAGTTATATATGTGCATACGATCGTAAGTTTCTACATACATCCTTGTGTGCCTATGCGCGTGTGTGCGTGCGCGTGTGTGCGTGCGTTCAAGAGCGTGAACGTGTAATAAACGATCGAGCCTCTGACGTCATAAATCATTCGGTGCGGGGGAAATGAGCAGTGTTAACACCGTGAGATAGCCGAGTAAAATAGCCGCGCGCACGTAACGTAAGTGTATGGGTGGATAGATAGATACTCTATTAATTCGGAGGCAGAAGTTGCTTGTACACCCAGAATCCGCTTCCTCGTCCCTGTCCAAGAAGAAATGCTGGCACTCGTATAGAACTACATGTCGCCCGCGTGTACGCACTTAAGTTGTCGAGATTGGGAACGCGCTGCTCGTCGTCGTCACGACCGATATTCGCTCTAAAGCGCGACGCCTCTATCTGGTTAACATTTGTGCTCGGGGTACCTCGCGTACGAAATGCCCAGCATCCTTCTCTCTCTCTCTCTCTCTCTCTCTCTCTCTCTCTCTCATAGACAGGAGGCGCACACACGTCCGGGGACGCGGCGTCGTATCCCCCCACAATAGCCCTATTTATGATTGGGCAAAATTGCTTTCCATGCGCAGAATAAAATCCGACTATCTGCCCGGGGAAAAATCGCGCGCGCAGCGGCGCCGCCACGGCCACCACTACCGCCGACGACGACGACGACGACGACGATGACGACGACGATGACAACGACGACGACGACGACGACGACGACGACGACGACGCCACCCGACGCCACCCAACGCCGACGCCGTCCTTCTCCCTCGCGCTTTCACCTCTCCCGGAAGCTTCGACTCGTCGTCCCATCGGCGCCGTTTTTTATGGTCGTGGCCCGGCCGTCCCGGACTTTTTCCGAGAATCGCCAGTATGGCGCCCGCGAGCGCGTCTGCGCGTCGCTGACCTCCCACTTCGAGGATACGCCAAGTCTTTCCGATCTAAAACTGAGCTGAAGCCGAGGATTATTTGTTTCGGAGGTGCCGAGGACCTCTTGGGATGATGGCTCGCGCTATTGTACTTTATCGGCGGCATTATAATCCCGACAGAATTAGAATATTCCGGTCCTTCGATGTCAATCACACTTTTTCACACATTTGTCGTATCTTAGGGACACGTGTCTTGTACGTCAATTGACGTGGAATGCCGCCTATTTGGATTTTACTAGCTAACGAAATTAACATCCTTTTGAATTTTCCATTTAAAATCATTCCTTTAATTTCGAATCTCGAATCTCGAATCTCGAATCTCGTAAGCTCCTCTATTTTATAAAAGTGTAATTCAATTTTAGCAAGAGCTTATAAAAAGGCCATAATAATAAATAAGCTTTATAAAATCAAGTACATGTTAAATGAACGGTGATATAAGAAAGTTAGGGACACAGTAAACAGTGCACGACCATTAACGAAATTCAATCATAATAGATAATTGCGGAGTTATGGAAGATTAATTAAAGCAGAACAACCCATTGTTTTCTTCTTCCATTCTCTATAAACAGCAATTAACAATGATTCCCATGTAAGTCAAGAGTTACTGCAATAAGCTCTTAACTTTACAATACATTCATGCCACTAAACATTTATATATTATTTGTTTAACTCTATTTTTACGATGATATATCGTACTTAAAAAAATTATCTGGGCGGCTAACTTTTCAGTTGAGTATTTTAAAGAAAATCACGTTGGAATGTAGGCCATTCATTTTTTTAAATTCACGACAACTTTAATCAAGACGGGCATTCGTTCTCATAAATGATGGATTAACAAAACTAAACAAAACTTTGTCTCTTATTAAGTTTATTAAATACATAAATTTTTTACTTCAACTGAAAATCCCATTTAATTCTAAATGATAGAATAACATTTTTACTTTATTCCTCAAGGACGAATTTTTCATTATATCATATTCATATAAAAATATTAATCAATAACTAGGACTGAAATCATTGCCCTCGGGTCAATCTTAACATTCATAATAATTAAATAATGTTTGATAAAAAAAAAAAAAAAGTAAACTGTTGAACATTATATAAGCTTAAATTATTGTTACTTTCGTTTTAGTAGAAAAATTAACTGTTAGCATATTTTTTTAACCTTCTCGTGAATAAAGATAGTCAATTTTCATTTTCTACCTTGCTAAAACCGAATGTCATATACGTATAAAGAATATTAGAAAAATTCCTAATTTATTTATTGTTTGGAAATATATATATATATATATATATATATTGTTTTTTTAACAAAACTAGCGTTTCATCCAAATAAATATAGATAATGCAAGATGATAAAAAATGATTTTTTATTTTCTTTTTTACAAATAAACCTATCAATTAATTGTATTCAATGAATAAGCAGAATTAAACTTTACTTAAGTATTTATTTATAATATTTACACGTATTGCCTATTTGCAATATAGTTATATTTTAATGTATTACGTATATTCTCGATTCTATCTCTTCAATTTTATTCATACGGCACTATATATTATAAATTTTAATAGCAACTAATCGTTTATTTACCAATAAATAATAGCCTGTCGTTCACGTTAACATTAGACATATTTATTTCTTTAGAATAAAAATGTAACGTAAATAAATTGATAAATTTAAGTGTTCGTTAGTACTAGGATACTCTAAAAAATCAATAATAAAGCTGTAAAGGCAGAAAAATCATCAGTTTCAAAATTAGGTGCCTGATTTTCTTACGTAAAGCATGTAATTTCATTACTAAAACTCAAATTTAACACATTATTTGACGTAAAATAAAAAATAAACTTTTTTGTGCGATGAAATTACGAGTTAAAGTAAATAAAGTAAAAAAAAAAAAAAAAAAACATCGTATTCTACTAACTAAATTTAAAAAATATAGTAGCATAAAATGTAATAATAATTGTTAACATTTCACGTTCTTTTATGAGCTTTAAAGTAAATAATTCACGTAACATAAATCGGAAATGAAATAGTCAACAACTTTTATGCAACTTAAGCTGTCGTGCCTCCCTTCGAGTTTTAAGTTTTTTAAATCGAATAACCCCATTATGAAGAGATCATATATGTCCGAAATATAATAACTATATGTGGTATTTAATGTGATTGGCTAAGAAAAAAAAAATAATAATAATTATCCTTTTTTTTATTTAATTTCAATTTTCAATTTCATTACGAAATCAATGAGCCATTAGTATGAATCAATTACTATTTTATAATTAATATCATTATGGTCTTAATTAACAAAACTAAATAAAATCGCATAGAGTAATTTAATGCGATTACAATTTTTTCAAATTCAAATTTAATCAATGTATCGCTAAGAAGAACATTGCCATTTTCATTCAAATATTCATCTATTCGCTCAATCTTGTATACAAACTTCAGACATTGTCAATTATAAATCCGTAATGACGATACAACGAATCATATACTCATATCATCGCTGACAAAATTCAAAGACTCCAAATTGTAATCGTGTTAGCATAAATAAACAAAAGGCAAAATCCGATTCTAAAGTACTACTCCCCTCTCCTCTACATAAAACTACCTAAAGTCCGCAGGCATATCGAATCATTGTATAGTACCTGAACACCTGAATTACGCCAAACAAGCCAAAATCACATCCAACTAATTCGTTTGAGCAGGTCAGATTAAGGAGAAGTAGATCGCGTGTGAATCATTTGTGGCACAGGCATGACAAAAGCATTGGGTTCATTATCACAATGGATTAGCTTAGCGAGGATACATCACTAAGCTACCACAGCAACGTCCAACACATAGCACATCCAACTCTTAACACATTTCCAAATTGCGTTTAATTATCTTTACTTTAATATGTAACTAACGCAATATGAATAACGAATGATAAAATTACTAATGAAAAAATTAACAAGTGGCAATAATTTTCTACCTAAGGAATCAATATAACGCGCGCGGTACTTAATGAAGAAAAACTTTATAAATGAACAAAATCGAACGATAGTGCGGTTAACTCTACGACTCCTAGAAGGGAATACAGAATAAGGAATAAAACATCAATCGATGCAAGATTCACTCTAAACTAAATAATATTAACACACGTGACGCTTGCGTATGGTAATTAAGACGATGCTTTATAATTTTTTTTTTTTTTTTTTTTTTTTTTTTTTTTTTTTGAATTTTGTCAAATAAAGAATAAAGTTATTATGACGATTAAGGAAGTGAAAAGGAGCAACTCGCGCGCCATGAATGGGCTTTAGGCTTTAAATGATTGTTAAAGGAACGCAAATGGAACATAAATTGGACGTTTATCGTCGTGTGTCCTATCGTTAATATAGAAAGCGACGCTTACAATTCAGCATATATGTTGAAATAAATTGCATTTGAAAATCATACTAATATTGCGCAAATGATAAACTTAATTATTATGACCTTACTTACACGGGATGTCCAATCAAAATTCACTCACTACTTATATTCATCGAACGGCACTGCTCGATTAACAAAATCTTACTTAATCTTAATCAAGAGGCACACTCTGCATATTATGAGATGAAACTTTCACGATAGTCCGAAAAGTTTTATGGTAAAGAAAACCAAGTGAAAAACCATGAGAAAGGAGGTTTAGAGGTAGAGCTACTCGATACTTGTCTCACTAAAGTAAATGCAATCGAGTGTAGAATGAGAGAGATATGTTGGTAGTTAAAAATGAGAAATAAGAGATATGCTGCTTATATGTAAATTTTCCTTAACTAACTTTTCCCTAACTTTCCCCACCTTCCACGAAACTTGCAAACATAAATGGTTGACTAAAATAATAATGTCACGCGATATATCAAAATGGAACTTTGGAAAGGAATTTAAAATTGGAAAAATGAAGATAACGATAACCGAAAAATAACAAGAGGTCTATTAAAATCCATAAAAGAAAATCCCCGCTGCGAGCTGTGACGAAAATTTAAATTTTAACGCAGTTGTACGTATCGACAATTTTTCAGTGACTTTAGTAAAGACTAACCGTAACTAAAGTTTATTTTAAACTCGTATTTATAATATTCATTACGCGTGCGTCGCTAGTTTTATAAATACAATGCATAGGAAAATATGGACAAGTCAATCGAACAGATGAGACTCACTACTAATCATAGGTAACAAAGACAGACACTTTACGTAGCCTTTTGTATTTACTAATTGCTGCTTTGATAATTCGACTATCCTAATACTATCAATCATCATATATCATCAAGATGCATGGGACAGAGAGATAGGATGCGCTGCAACGATAAATTGGCCATTTTTGTTTTGTTTTTTTTTCTCTCAATTCCTCGAATGATTCGAACGATCTCGATATTCGTAAATTTTCGGCTTTACGAGACATTGTCGCATTTCCTAAATCTGATATTACAATGATAATGTTGCGGCTCAAGCGCCATTTAACAGTTATCTCATTAAAATTTCATTAATAAGAACATTATCGGCTGTTAAGGCGTTCATTTCGTTGAAATTAACGGATAAGGATCCAACAAGGATAGTAGTTTGGGAATGTCAGGTGTTATACAGGTTGACAAATAATCGTGATTTAACTTTGCTAACAGTACAATATATTAGATGATCGTTTAATGATTTTTCTACCGCCAAACGTCACAACCCATCAAAATTTCATCTTTTAATAAAAATAATAATTCTGTCCAATATTTTCATTGGCAAATTTATTCTTATTTGATTAATTCGATTACGAGGGACGATCAAATTTTTATATCCGTTTATCTAAAAATTTGCAGAGTTATCATAAGATATTTTGCGATACGGGGATCTTGAGTGTTTCTCCACCCACCCACATGACCAATTCGACAAGGACGCCATCTTGAAACCAAAGTGGATATCAATCTTGCTGGCACTTGTAGATTGGCAATGTTTATTTGCTTTAATTGATGCCTGTGTGCGTTTGCTTGTAAAATTTTAATTAAAGTAATGCTTACTTTGTATTATATGATGAAATATGAATAAATAAAGTATCGGAATAAAATGATCATTTGGGATCATTTGGGCAAATTAAGTATATCATGATCGATTTACTTGAATTCAATAATTAAAAAACAGCATTAGAAAATTATATTTAATGTCACTATTTGATTTGAAAAACATTGAAAATAAATTTTTATACACACATATAAAGCATTTAACTGCATAATAAAGAGGAAACATATATATTTTGTAATATACGTTATAATACATCATTATTAATTATTAATTTATATTATTATAAGTTATAAGTTATAAGATAAAGCTTAAGTGAATATTTATAATAATTACAATCTTGAAATCATTGAAAAGTTTAAATTAATAAAAATTTGGCGAACTTTCTGTTCATTTATTTATTAGAAAATATTCCGATTGAAAATAATATTAAATCTAATATGCTTAATGACATCGTTCAATGGCAGCGGCATTTTCAATATATAAAGATAAATTTTGGGAAAGAAAAAAAACAACATCAATATTGATATTTATGTCAAAAATAAACCACGTGAATAAGCTACAACATTTATTAATACATTTCGACTCTACTGTTTTATTATAAGCAAGTAATATATTATTAATTTTACTAATAGCTATTTGAATAAAATTTACATTTCCTATATAATTGATAATGTTCAAATTTATAATTCAATTGTAAGGAGTCAAGTTTTTATGAGTCGACCTTTAATTTTTTTTCTTTTTTTTTTTTATATATCCTCTGTCTATGCTATAGTTGAGTTATTATATTATATAAAGAAATATGTAAGTTTTTTAATATTACATGGTAAAAATATAGTTTTTCTCGAATTAAGCAATGAGATGTTGGTTCTTACCAAAATGATCTGCTCATCTAATTTTATATTTTAAATTAATCACCGAAGTATATTAGTTAAGTTAAATTTGTAATTATTTCGTTATCAATTTTTGAAATTTTATCAATAATAAAAGTGAAATGCATTTTACTTCGACAATGCGTAGCATAAAATCTATTACACTAGAAGAAATTTAATTTTGGCCCGTTCGATTTTCTTAACTATATTTATCTTATTATTAACTTTATCTATTTTAACAGGAGCTATAACAATATTTTTAATGTTACCAATAATTTGGTCTTTTGGGAGGAGAACATTCTACGCGCGCGCGCGTGCACGCACATACACATCCTACTATTATAGCAAAATTATAATTTAGTATTTCGCACTTCTTGAATATTATATTTGCAAATGGTCGTATAAAAAAATGACCGTGTAACAAAACATTTAAAATAATTTTAATTGTATTTGAAATTTGTAATTATATCGGTATTAACATTAATATCTATTACCAACTATGCTAATATTAAAACAATTATTCATTTACTATTGAAATAAAAAACAATAATTGGACATATTTTATTCTAGTAAGAACTATTATTACAATTTCTGTTAAGTGTATAATTTTTTTGAATAATTTACCCCGATGAACGAACGTAAGTTTATTGATTTTCAATTTTGTTACTTTATTTGCTGTTACAGGATTAACTGAAATTATCTTAGCAAATTTCATTCGATGACTACATTTCATGATACAAAATACGTTATTATTTATTTTCACTGTATTGTATCTATGACAGCTATTTTTACAATATCTGCATCTCCTCTTAAAAGAATTAATTCTTTAACGACCGTCTACCTCTATTTATATAATCGAGCAACTTGCAATTAGCAATCGTCGAGGATCTAGTGATGCCGACAGGTTATTTCTCAAAAATCGACTATCCATGCGAAGAGAGATATAAACATTATTTTAAAAAGATTGTGTAATACTTCAATATACTCCCAAGTTCTTTTATACGTTTAATAACAATGATATCTGACTGCAATATTTATGTATTTTATTTATGATATTCAGAATGCCATAAAGTTAAGCATAATTGTCGGCTCATAAAGGAAACGTAGGAATTTTTTTATAAATAGCTAGGTGATATTGGAAGATATTTTTCACTAAAAGCTTATAATAATATTCCAATTTGACAAATTTCATAATCTAAGAATAACATAAGTAAGACTTTAGTTTCTAATCATTGAATTTATTAGTGACCTTTGCATGCTTTCATCGAGTCTTCATAATTACTAAACAATCTATACATTGTTTTGCGTAAAAATGGTTGCACTAAAATAAAATCTTTCTTCTTGTCTTTTAATATAAAATAAGAAAGAACATTTTCTTCTATTAAATAAATAAAGAAAATAATAATGACAGCGGGATGTTTATTAAATGTCCCATATTTTATTTATTCTATTGAAAATAGGTGTCTAATCTAATCTTTAATCACATTTTTTATTGTGAATATAACAAAAGAATGTTCTGCATAAAAATGTATTGATTAAATGCTAAAATTCATAAGAATTTTATCTCTAATTTCTTACTAAATATTATATTTATAATATTATGATTAAATTCATATTGAATACAAGTGATTAAATAATTTTAAAAATTATACAATAGTAAAAGCGTAGTATCGACGATCTAAAATGACGCACGGAATTCCCGCATAAACTAATAAAAGTATTTATAAAACATCGATACTCGTGTACTGTAGAAACTCCACAATAATACGTTTATTATAAAATTAAATATTAACTTTATTGTTTCTAATACAACATATGCAAAGCGATTGTTACAGCTTTACGTATGAAATATTTTTTTATTGTATTCTGTGATGAAATCCAACTGACTTTGAAATAAATATAAGGAGATAGAAAATTAGAAAAAAAATTTTCTGAACAATAATTATTGTATGAATATATTTTTTGTAATCTTCAATCGTGGCACTATTATTATAAATTATACTGATAAATAATTTAAATATCTGTTTAACCCTTATCATAGCAAAAAGTCTCTTACATTTTCGAAAATGATATAATTTCATAGACAATCTGGTCTTGTCCCTTTTGATTATTTAAAAGTCTATTATTAAACTTTCTTTTATCCATGATGCATACAAAAATATACGAAAAATTTCCAATACTAATACATTTATTCAAAGGCATGGGCGAATAAGAACAAATATCAACTAGAAAATTTTTTTTATTTAAGTATAACGATCTTTTGTTGAAATGTACATATAATTTATATTACGAAGTCATTGTTTTTCCAATGCAGACACGGCTTCAAATTCTTGTACATCTGTCAACAAATTTTTTACATTCTGCAGTGTAATATCGGGTTGCTGCAACTAGATTTACAAAACTTGAATTAGAAACTATTATTATTATTAATTAATAAGCAATAATATATTTTAATAGTAAAATTAATATATAATATTAAGACAAAGATGCTACTAGTACATTTTTCAATAATTGTAATTACGTTTGTTCTTAATTCACACACAAATTTAATAATAAATTCAACAAAATGTTATGCTACTTGGGAACGTAAAATTATTAAAAGCGCAGAATTATGAAAAAAAAAAAAAAAAAAAAAAAAAAAAAATATTATTCACTATCGAGAACATCAAATGAGCAATTTTACGTTTATCATTAATGATTTCGTTCTAATAATTGACAGAAAAATTTAAATAAACTCTCATTAGCAGTGACATTATAAAAAGTTGGTACTCCATAATTCGAAAATATACTTGTAGAAATTTAAACAAATCCCCACTCACTCTGATTTTCGTAAAGAGCGCCGAACATGGGGACGATGTTTTTCTATACAGCCTCACTAAGGATCCATGATTCGTATGTTGAGCCAACCTCTCCCAACCACCCGTTCTTTCCAAAATGTCTTTTATACGATGGACATGATCATCCGTCAATTTGTCCTCCCAAGGCCTCGTGCTCGACATGGATTTCTGCGAAATCGGAATGGTAGTTGCCCTGTTGGTCGGATGTTCCTCCGCATCCGAATGATTTATGACAACGGAATTCGATCGAGCGAAAGAATTGTCACCTGGGACCATATCACAACCGGAGTCCAGCTTCTCGTCAACGGAATACTCGCACCCGCGACCACACGAAAGTTGCATCAACTGATTATAAGTTAAAAACTTTCCAATTACGTTCTTCAATAATGTTAAGTTTTATATCATTAATTGGGCGTTTAAAATCAGACGCATAAAATTTATACAAAATACTCAAGCTTTTGTTTATCTTGTTTATCTTATTAAGTACCTTTTGGTCATTTTGTGCCAGGTCGCACGACGATTCGTCGGATTCTGGAAAGTCGTCATCGGAATCGCTGCTTTCGATGTCGATAACCGAATCAGAAATATCGATCAAAATTTCGGCTGATAATCTCTATTGTGAAATATTACTTATTTTAACATTATTCTTTAGAATACGTTTTCTTAACTAAGAAATAATATTGCTTTCAGCTACGATCTTTGCGAACATTAAAAATAGAAATACGCGTATTAGTAAATTTACAATATCGTTCTGAAAAAAACAAAATTATCAACAGAAACAAATACAATTATAAATAAAACCATATATTCTTTCGTTTAATACATACGCTAAGGTACAATACTGTTAAATAAGATAAATCACTCACGCTCATATTTTCCTCTTCATCATTCCGATCAATATTATTATTCCTTATTTTTGGATCAGCTCCGTACTTATTAAATATTTTAATAAGATCTTCGGCACATTTACCCCTTTTGGCAACTGCACTCTGTAATGCTGTATTACCTCCGAAGTTTTTCTTATTTAAATCGATTTTCGTCTATATATAAACATAATACGTTTCATATATATATATATATATATATATATATATATATATATATATTCGGCAATAGATTTTTTTATTTAATGTTGTGTTGATTTAATGACGTAGATTTAAGATAAGCCATGTGAAGATGATTGAAAATTTTGAGAGCACTTTATCGGTATTTTAGGCTTAAAATTTTTTAATTCATACGTAAATATTGCTTATTTATTTATTATGCAATTCAAAAATTCTATTCAAAAGACTTGTATATCTTTTTTCTATTTATTAAGAAATTCAATAAATTAATCAATAAATTTTTACTCTAAAGTACCATTGAATTTTATTTAGCATTAAATTCTTTGAAGGAATTAATGATATGAACTTTAAAAAAAAAAAATTAAAAATATTATGTTCATGGAAGGTGTTTTATTACACGCAATTGTCTTGTTATTTTAGGCACTCGGTAACTTGAACAGAACAAAATATAACTGTAATCTTTAGTAAACCAATATGGAAATTTATCAATTGCAAAGAAATAATTATGTTTAGGCAAAGAAAGTGAAACATTTTTATGTATTCAATCGGTAAAGAAATTCAGAAAAATTTCTTTCATTGCTCCATAATATTTTATGTAGATTAATAATGTACATAATGTAAATTGAAAGATATATCGTTCCCATTTATTGCATTTCCTACTAATGTATTATAAGACTTAAGCGACAAACCGAATTTATCACAATAAAAATGGTCTGATTAAAATTGAATAGGCTTGTAATGTAAAAATATGAAACATCGTAAATAATTATTCGTGAAATTTTTAATAGTTTTTAATGCTACTTTATCATTGCAGAAAAGCTTAGAACAACTATATAAGTGAAAATGTATTTTAATTTCAATAAAATAAATATTTAAATTTATAAAATAATGCTTAAATTTAATAAATTTAGAATTGCAATGTATTGTAATCGTGACTTTCTCTCATTTTTTTCTCTCTTCACCTTTATAATTCAAAATAATTCTAACAGTCTTCAAGAACATTGAAACCAGCCATCATATTTTTCTTACGATATCAATATTGTGAATCAATGCGTATAAAAGAGCTCATATGCATCCGTACATGACGCATCGAGAGCGATTAAAGTAAAAAAACTAAAAACAACTTCTCCTCCAACACTCCTCCAAATTATTTCGAATGTTTCAAAACGTCACCACCCGTTAGTATACGTTTGTGCGTTTTATAAGTACGAATAGGCCGCTCTAACGTTCCACTCTACAGCATATTTCCTCGTCAAATTATGATGGCGTGATGAAGATCAGTTTGCACTTGTAATTGAAAAATTACGACCATCGACAGGCTCGAATAAAGAAAAAAAATTAATTTAATTGTCATTTAACTTTGATCTATTAAGTAAATGACTAAAGACGGATAATTAATCATCTTATTAGTTAAATATGGCATTTACAAATTATAATATTTGCACGATTATTTATATAAATCAATACGTTCCTTCTCGACAGATAAGACAGATAATAGCAATATAAGACTCTTAAGGCAACGTTAGTATATACAATTATTTATAAAAAAAAAAAAAAAAAAAAAAAAAAAACACAAACACACACACACACATTAAGAAAACTTTAAATAATAATAATGATTGAATTGAATTTGCTCGTTCCAAGCACATACGAAACAACATGGAAAGCCCATCTAGTAAGACTTATAATACTAAACCTTGAAAAAAAAGAGAGAAAAAATCATTACCGTGGTGAGGAGATAATCGACGATATGCTTGTGATTAGCATCGACGGCGATATGTAGGGCGGTGCATCCACATAACTTGTCGATGGAGTTGACATCAGCCCCGGCTTTTATCAGGACGTGGACCGCGAGCAGCGAGCCGACCTGCGCTGCTAAGTGCAGCGCCGTCCATCCGGACTCCGTGTGTGCCTCCAGGTTAACATTTTTGCTCGAGCGGAGCAACTGGTCGATGCAGCCGGATGCCCTCGCTAACGGATCAACAGCGCTCGCTCATTTGCTTGGACTCATTGGTCTTATTAAGAGTACTTTCAGTACTTTCATTTACATCTGTGCGCCTACTCACTTACTCGCGCAATTGGCAGAGCTCTTTAGTATTTTCAAAAATAGTTGTAGCATCGAATGGTGGTCTTAATTTCTTAATTACAGATCGTTCTAACTTTTTTGATAAATAATCCAATTTTAAAGTGCACATACGATTATCCAATTGATTAATTTAACTTACTGATGCATTTAACTTAATTAATTAATGTTAATTGAAAGAAAAACAACAATAAGAACGAACGATGTACTTATGTTAAATTGACGCGAACAAATGTAAGAACCTCTTACAAGATTTTCAATTAGAAACTATGTTGAATAAGAGTTAAAAAAAAAAAAAAAAAAATTGACACTCTTTATACTTTCCTATTAATTTTATTAATAATGATTAATAAATTAATTAATGTAACACGGGTGCGTGTATTTTCGTTTAGTTGATACATCGAAAGTGCTTACCTATTACAGCATTGTGTAAGGACGTTGCACCTGCTTCGTCGCATAAATTTGGATCGGCTCCGATGTTCAAAAGGGCTTTAACAATATCCGATTGATTTCGTAAAACTGCAAGATGGAGTGGAGTCTGAAAATTAATAGTGTCATTCAATTCATATTACAGACTTACGCAATGCGATTCTCACCATGCCACTACTATTTTGTATATTGACAATTTTGCTCAACAATGGATCGAAGCTTAAGATTGAAACGATGCATTTTGAAATTTTATATTCTTTATGACGCAGAGAAAAATGCAGTGCCGTATCTCCAAATTGCGTTGTTTTCAGCAAAATATTGCGCGTCATAACAATTATAGTTGCCTTAGAATTATCTGTTAATGCAGTATCCCTTAAGGTCCTTAAAACTTTCTGAAGTATATCGTTGGCGAAATTCTAAGAAAAAACAAAAAGAAGTACGTAAATGTATAAAAGTGATGTTAAAATTAAATAGAATAGTAAAAAATCATATTGATATTGCCCAGATCATTATTATACTTTAGGGCATTGAAATAGGAATTTTTCATTCGCAGTTTTATCAATTTGTTTAGATAATGTACCGGATGAAAAATGTTCGTAACTTAATGTAGACAGTAATTTTGATAATCAAATTTACTATGTGCAATCATTTTATCAAGATCACTTTTTCATTTGCAATTGAATAAGGAAATTGTGCGACATGATTTAATCACTCCAACATTAATGTAAAAAATATAATTAAAAACATACTGATTTTTCTGCTTCAAATTCATACGAATCACCTCCGTCTGTGACAAGATCATTATCAGCGCAGGGAGTTGATATTGCATTTAATAAGCTCAAATAATCTTTAAAATAATTAGTCGGTAGATTAATAACTAATTTATAAGTAATGAATACATTAAGCAATTAGTTAACCTTCTCACTTTCTAAAGTGCTGAGATCGCTGAAGTATGTTTTAAAATCTTCTGAATTACAATAATGATCATCGTTCAATAATTCTTTCAATTCTCCAGTAAGACTTGAAATGTCATTATCCAAATTTACAAATGTTTCATTCATTGGCGAGTAATTTTCTAATGAAGAATTCTCCATAAGATCAGTTTCAATAGATTCTACAGTTTCACAAGTAGACGCTAAACGTGGTCGTTTTCTATCTTTTAATTTTAATAAACAAATTTTGAATTAACTTATCCGATAAAATACAGTTCTAATAATTTCATGTTATTTTTTCAATAATAAACGTATAATTATTTATGCCTTAACGACTTACTTAAGTTCTTGTCCAATGGCTTATATACAAACATAACACTATTAGAAACTTCACCATCCGTTGGCCTTTCTAATCTTATAAACACTTCTTTTGGACTCGTTATATTAGTATCTTTATACGGTGGTGTTCTGAAAAAAAAAAAAAATATATATATATATATAAGAATAAGAATTATTTAATGCAAATTATGATAGAAATAATAGATTATTAATTTAGACAGAATATTATAAAATACTCAATAATTAAAATTATAAATTTCTGCTAATAGGTTAAGTTTATAACGCAGCTAAAATATGAAGTATATTTTAATAAAAAATAAATACGTGAAATGTTTATTGTCTAGTACGTACTTAAAGACAATTGCATATTGATGATGAACATCAAGTTCTGTAAAACGTCCCTCGGCTTCCCAGATTATATTATCACTATTATCAATTTCATATAATTTTACTTTAATGTTTTCTGGAACAATAATTTGTGAGTGAAGTTACCGTCATATTTATAAAATGTGTAAGCTATTAAACATACTTTTTCCTACTTTTTCAACCAATAAGAAAACTTCTTCATTTCCTTCACAAGAGCACGATTGTTTATCGATACGACAAATTTTAAGATCTCCGGTTAAAGCACTTTCTATACATAAAAAAAGACTTTGGTTAATGAGGGGGTAATAAAAGATTAAAGTCAAAGGAAACAATTTAAGCTAATAAAATTGAACGCTTACTTAGATTATTAATCGGATGGCTATATACTTTCTCTGTGAAAGGATGTAAAACATTATTCTCTCCATAAAAAAAACCTTGAAAACAAAGGGCAACGGTATTTAAATTCATCCGCATTTGAATTCTTTCTGCCTCTAATTTTATCTGAAATTATTGATTTATTTTCATACAATAATTGACCAAAGTGGTTGAAAAATTAAGAAAACAGCAATGAAAACTGTAAAGCATACTTGTATATCTTCACGCGTACTTATAGTAGCATTTCCAAACTGAACCTTCTCTTTTTCTCCTAAAAGTTCTATTCTTTTTCTTCTCACAATTTCATCCCTAACATGTTTTTTTGCTGTATGTATAATACCCATATTGTAGAATCTACAATCGAATACAAAATCATGGTTATTTAAAAAAATATATGTAATTTCAATTAAATTCAATTAATATTCTTCTTACTTTGCAATAAAGTTATTTTCACTACTAACTTCTATATCGTGCGGATCATCTGTATCAGTATTACCATTCTTTCTAACTAAGTGATGAGCATGAGGAAATCTATTTTCCTCGTCTGCGGTAACTAAAGTGCATCTTATGACAGCAATCTTAAATGGACAATTTACTAGCTGAAAAACGATACATATGAAAAACAATTCTTCTAGCCTATATAGGAAATATATTTTAATACGTGTATATGTGTGTGTGCACACGTGTGTTTGTGGGCGGGTGTGGGAGTGTATTAAAATCTCTACCATTTATTATATAAATACAGCATTACCCCGATCGTACAATTAAATATTAGTTAACTGATATTAATAAATACCTGTATCGTAGGAACTTGTTTTTTATAATTGGTTTTTTCTCTTTCACCAAGAAGAGTGCTATAATTTCCTGACATTTCAGATTTATATCTGAAACGAAATTTCTCCACCGGTTGAATTAAAATTCTCAATTGTGTATGTTCAACTACAATTTTGAAAATAAATAAAATCTCTTACTAATCACTTGAATAATTATATGCTACCTTTGCTATACATTTGAAAATTATTTATATATATATATATATATATATATATATATATATATAATTATCTTTTTATCAATTATAAATGAGCAATAAAATAAAATCATTAAGTACTATGCAATATAGATACATATTGCATTAAATTTGTTAAAAATATTCAAATAATCTAACACATGCTTATCTCTAGGTCTTGATCCCTGGAATTTTTAATAAACTTCATAATCTCAGCACTTGACAAATTATTGCAATAATTAATCTGCTGAGATGAATCCAATGAAGATGAATTTGATGATTCGATAGTGCTCATGTGAAAATAATCTGTACATAAAATTAAATAATTTTCGTAAAAAAAAACACACACGCACACGAAATAGTGTTTATATGTGAGTATGTACATATATATATATATATAATTAACGATAGTAGAAATATCTTACCATAGTTATTGGTAGAAAAGCTCTTCTGTTCGGCAGCTGTCGTTGGAGAGGTACTTTCCAATTTGTGAAATTCACGCTCGTAAGCGATGAAATTCTCATATGCATCAGGCATTTTAAAGATGTTTGTATACAGCTACGTTCGTACGAGTGGAGAAATTTTTTTAAAAATTAACGGAATAAGCAGAGTTAAGGAGAGAAGTGGAACGGTAGAGCCGCTGATGATTGAGACCCGATACTTACTATTCGTAAACTAATGTCAATTTTATATGCCAGATGCACGAGGAACAAGCATTACGCATAGTCGAGTCATAACCTTGATAATCACAGGTTCTGCCTCGATAACAGATTTGTTATCAGCATTGTTGCAACTTGCAAGCAATGTTGCCATCGATCATACAAATTGGCCAATCAGAGCAGCTGTTAAAATCTTCCGACTCCCAGTTTATCAGCATCCCCTCTCGTCAAATGATCTACAGACCCGAGCAGAGTCTGCTGCATTTGGCGAGGAAACGATTTTGTTTTCGTCTCTCGGCGTCTTTGTCTCAAAATTACCATTTTCCTATTTTGCAATTATTGGAATTACGAGGTCGGAGAGATGTCAAGCGTACCAAGGCACGGATGAACATTTAATATCTTCTCAAACCTTCAGAGATTTTTTATGCAAAGTTTTTTAAATAATTAGATTCGTAGAATTATACCCGCACTGTATTATATATTTAAGTATATAATTATGTGTAGCGAATAGTAGGTGGAATTGTGTGACAATGACGTAAAGATGAACGCGAGGTTTAAGAGAAGCGATTAAGCGTAATATTGTAATATGTATGTATGTAATATACGAGAATAGTACGAATGTACAACTGCTTGTTGTATATCTGTCCTTTAGGCTGGCCAAGGGGATGTAATTTTCATCGCGAGGATCAATTAAAGCTGCGAAGATTCAGGCTCGATCGATAACGAGGACGACGAGTTGAATGAGCTTGAACCTCTACGGCTCTACTACTGATGATATTCCTATGATTATGTGTAAAAATCCATATAATTGAAAAATAAATACTTGTTCAAAGTTTTGTTAAAAGAACTTGGTGAACTAAAATTAAGAGTCGATATTTTTAACGACAATGTCGATTAGAGTTCTAATTTATCAATAACTAAGTCACTAATTTAATTACCCATCAAATCGTTACACTTGTATAAAGAATGTTTATACGACATATCCTGAAAGATGTTAGTTTTGATAGGCAATTAATTTCATAACTAAATAATTATTGTCGATTTCCAAATTGTCTTGGTACGTAAAATAAGCATTTCGATTACCATTAATTATTAGACTTGAATTTAAAATCGTAATGCAAACAATAATAGGCGTTACTCAAAGTTCTGTCAATAAACAATTTGTAAAATTCGATTTCGCAAAAATATCACCTCAATATCATTACTTTTGTCTCATAATCGATCACCATTTTATAATTTAATCTGTAACAGAATCAAATAGATTGAGCGCATCGTAAAATGTCCAATGTACAGCAAATTACGCGACTGTAATTAAATAGAGGAATTTCCAGTTTTCTTACGGTGCTATTGTACTGCAATCGATTAATTTTATCTTGTTATGAAGATAAGTTGATTAAATAAAATGTCTATGAGAGGACGCGTATGTTTGTGGAATACTTCCATCTAACTTCATTCTCGATATTATTCTTTAAAGAAAAATGCTTCAAGTCACCGGGATAGATGAGATATTTTATTGACTGCCAACGGAAGCATAGATCGACAAGAATTAATATATTTTTTTTTTTCAGCTGATAATTTGCTAATCATTTATTATAAAATAACATCTCTTTACATTAATACACGCTTACTATTAATGCAACCGGTCTTTCAACGAATAGCAATTTTTAAACTTTTATATTTTTTATTTTTTCACTCTTCTATTCTATTTTCATTTATGAAATCTTTAACATAGCAAATTTCAGTCGATTATTTTTTATATTTGAATTTATTTTTTGTCTTTTAATTGCATTAATTCGAAATTCGCCTCATGATATGTACATATCATTTTTTGGGTGTGCGCGCGCGCGTTTGTGTGTGTTGTGTAGTGTTAATTTTTTTAATGAAAGAATGAAGAAACTAGTCCACGAATTAGCACTGTTTAAACACTTAAATTAATGCGCATATATTTATTAAGGCAAAAAAAACTAATATTTCTTATATGTATATATATATATATATATATATATAATTATAGATCCTAAGGCACTGCTATATTAATATAGGTGCAATGCAATAAATCTTTAGATTTTCAATGACTGTAATGTTTTTTATTTCTTATAATAATACCTCAGATGTATTTTTAATAATTCTTGAAATTATTTAATACTAAGTAATAATCAATACACATTTTCTCTACATAATAATGTATTGAATATTCTATGATTATATTATTTACCTTACAAATAATTCAATACTTACTTAATTATATACATATTAACATAAGAATGCAACACATTGTGCAATTAGTTATATATTAATATGCTATTGATATGAATGAAGACAGCAATAAAAACATATCGAAGGTCGCGCATTAACTCTTTAAAATAAACTGAATCTTCGGACGGTAAAATCATCTTCTACAATTATTAAATTATTACGTAGAAAATAATTTTTTCATATAAAATTAAATAATTCCGTTAAAAAGAGCTGCATTATAATAAAAATATTGATTTTTATTAATAAATGAATGACAGTGTTATTGTCAGCTATGTTTAGTACATGCAAATGTTAAGATTGTTTAGTTGTTATAAAATTAATCGCATTTAAATTGACCAATTGCAAATCTGTTGATAGATAAGGATAATCCAAAGTATGGGGGATAATTTGCTTAAAAAATATTTAGGATATAAATATAAATATGGCAGTATATTTTTCTAATGAGAAATTTAATATATTTCTTAATAATATTCGAGATAAAAGTCGCGAAGATATGATTGTATTTCATTTGAATATTAATAACAATAACAATAACAATAGCATGTAATATTGAAAAGTACCTATTTTGCGCTGATTATAAAAGATTTGATTTTTATTTAAAAATATAAACTAATGTTAATTCTAGCTGATAAATGATCTTAATAATATGCGCATCGAGAGATTATAAAATTATAAATTAAAATTTTTTCCATGCAACTGAATATTTCTCTTCTTATTACATATTATTTTGTATATGAGTTTCATATTAATTTAGATATTCAATAAAGCGAATGAACAAGACTAGAATACTAAATCCGATAGAGAGAAAAGGATAACACTGGTAATAGAACAAATAAATAAAAAGAATAAATGTATTTGTATGAAAAGGTCGGCCTTACTCATTCTGTTCATTATTAACTTTTCCGGACACGAGAGAAATCGAAGTGATTGTGCGATTGAAAATGAATGAAGGAAGAAAGCACGACACCGCGTGTCGTCGTGCATTTTATCATAATATTGTCTGAAGCAACCGATATTTAAGCTCAAACAGATTTTTCAAAATGGCACTTTAATTTTTTAATTTCAGATACGCAAACACCTCTCCGCGTTGCCTTCGCTCTCGTCCCCCCCCCCCCCCCCCCCCCCCCCAGTAATGACAATTGTGCTACAAATTTGTGGATCGTGTTATATTCAAACCCAAGCGAATAAATATGATTACAAGATTTACAATGCGAGCATCAATGCCCAATGTCCAATGTACAATGAGTACACCGTAGGTCTAATATTTTTTATTAGCGCAGTAACGTTAGTTACTTTAGTATTATCGTAGGTGTATGAAAAGTCATAATACCGCGTATACATTGATAGAACGACAGATTAACATTGCGTAATCGTGTAATTTAAATGACGACGTTAAAGTATACTTTGATGCTGCTTTTTCTCGAGTATCTTACGTACGTGACGTGTCCTGCAAATCTTTTCGCCTAACTCCAAACGCTCCATCGCGCTAAGATCGCAAAGATTTTTCAATCGCACCCACACTCCCATAAACCCTGTTATTCTTTATATTTTGAAAGGGGCTTCGCATAAAGAGTTTTTAAGAAAAATCTTCGTACGCGTAAAGGTTCTCGTAAAAATTCTCTCGGCACCTCGTTTCTGCCTTGCCTCTCCCCATTACCCCTCCCACTCCCCCTTCCCAATTCCCATCCACTCACCCATTCACCTTGATATCCGCTTTAAATGCAAATTGTATGGCCAACGATACTGATACTACTGCAGGGACTGATTGCGTCCATTTTTCATTAGCGTTCGGTTTTGCCCGGGGAAGAATAGCCGGCGCTGTTTGCAAATGCAGGAACGATATTCGCGAAATATTTGGCAATTGTTGGGAGGGTTATCGGCGAGTCGAGTGGACGGTTCGATATTGTGTCGAACGTCGGCCAATGGGAAATAAATAACAATCAGCTGCGGTGAATAAAGCTTTTGGGTAAATGGTAGAGCGAGCGCAAGCTGTCTCACTTTTTCTTCCTACGAGCCGATTCGCTCGATAAACAATACAATACAAGCGAAACAATAAATAGCACGAGAATTAAAGTGTGTGCGATATGTAAATTAAAATATCGGCACATAAATCTGAAAAGTATTACGCATCCAAATTGGCAAATACTCTAGTGTTTCTTCACATTAGTACATTACTGATAATTTAATACGAGGCTGCTAAAATTACTTATAAAAAGATTATTATTTCCTATAACGTACTTGCCGTTCTGAAAAAAAAATCTTACGTAAGAAATACTTATCTTGAAGTTACGTGCTTGAAGTTAGTGTCGATTGATTCGTGATTCGTTTAACAAGAAATGCGCTCAAGTTTATAATTAATCGTCATAATTTGTTTCCCGTCCGAATATACGATGACTTAAGGCATAAGATTGTTTCTTTTTTTATGTTTTTGCTTTTTTTTTTTGTTTTTATTTTTTTTGTTTTTGTTTTTTGTTTTATAATGAAACTTTTCCAAAGGAAATATCCTATTGGCAATGTTTCCTTCCAAATGGTTTTCTATTAGTTTGAATATATATATATATATATATATATTTGTCATTATACTTAGGGCACCGTTTCGAAAAATCCAATTATCTTCCTTTATTTTTTCATTTCAGACGATGTCAATGACAATAATGAAATTAAGCGATCCAGATGGATTTAATATGTATTTCAATGCATTACGAAAGAAAGCCAAAAATAACTATAAATCAATAATAACTATAAATAAGCGCTCGAGCGACGAGCCCCCATAAATATATATTATATATTTAAATTGAGACTAAAGTCTGAATCTTAATATGTCGTATGTTTGTGCGCACATTATTAGACAAATGTACAGTAGATAAAATTATGAAATGGAAATTGGAAAAAAAAACATTAGGATTATTTAAATAAAATCTACATCGAAAGTCTAATTATATACATAACTATGAATTTAACTTTTTTTTACGTCGATCCAATTTTTTTTTAATATGTATTATTTATTTATTTATTTATTTTTTTTTTTTTTTTAACTAACAATCAATTATTTGTAAATAAAAAAAAAAATGATTATTTATATTTGATATGCATCAAGAATACAACTCCAATGAATTCGATAAGATCCCCAGAAATTATTATATCTCTGAAGCATTAAATGGCAATATTATTTATCGTTATTTACTCGTGAATACTACGATATCAATTTTATAGAAAGAAATTATCATTAATGTTATCCAATTCAATACCTCCTACATGGCATATCGAGCTAATCTTCATCAATTTTTCATTAAATTAATCATCTGCCCTTTATTGATTCGGCATAACAATCTATTATACGTCACAGTCGTATAATTGACGTATTTATATCTAATCCCACATCAATAATATACTATAACTACATAAAAAAATATTATATCATATGAATATATATATATATATATATAATCATAATAATAACAATAATAATGATAATATCAAACGTATAAATTATTACATGTTGTAGTATTTTAGGAATTTTTTACATAGAATTTCAAGCTATTAAGCTGTTTTTTTATACAAATTATGAAAAAATTAAGAATTATTCATTTGTGTTTTAATTACTCTGAGTACATTCTGTGATATTGCAACCTACTAATTGTACATTCACTCGATTACATTAGAATGTAGACAAACTGATAGTATTGGCGATAACTCATTTCCTCACATAACTTTACCAAATTCGTAATATCATCACTCCCAAGCATTAGGTGTTAAATAATTGTAATTATGACAAAATAAAAGACATTTCAAATGTATGAAACTTCAATGTTTTATATAGTTATTTAATTCCTCACTTAACTTCAAGCTGATTAAAGTATTTATTTAACATCGAAATAAAATAGGCGAAGCAAATGAAATAATTTCCTGTATATTTATTTAATTATACGTTTAATAATAAGAAAAAACAATAAATACATTTATTATAATAAATTTCTTTCACGCTCTTATTCACAAGATATTATTTATAAATTAATATTATTTATAATTTAATATAAGATATTATTTATAAATCTTTGGTATCGATAAATGACGATATATTATTATTTAAATAAATCAACAATAAAATTCATTAAAATACACGTATAATAATGAGGAAAAAATAATGTACAAATAAAACATGAGAATAAATCCTAATATGTTAACTTTAATTATGTAAACTTTTCTATAGTTTTTCTTCTACTGTTTTATGAAGTAAACAATTTATATTTGTAAAATATCTATAATAGAAAGTATCATATATGAATTTATGTTAATTTATAAATAAATGTTATTGTAAAAATTTTATCAGCATAATTAAAAAACAATAAATATACTAATAGTGTGTGTGTGTGCGTGTGTGTGTGTGTGTGTGTGTGTGCGTGCCTGCGTAAAAAAAAATAATAATTTTCCAAATTAGTTGCAATTTTTTCTAAATTATTTAGTTGATATTTATTTTTAATGTTGTAACATAAAGGGAAATGCGACAAAATGATATCATATTACATGAAACATTCATGTAATATTTAATTAAATTTCATAATTTTTACATAATGTAACATATAATAAGAATAGTAATATTTTATAAATGGTGGGCAGTACAAATACGATTATAATTACAAAAGTTATATATTTTTTATCCGAATGACAAATTAAAAGAATTATGATACAGCATTTTTACACGTCAAATATAAGACATGAAATCAAGTTATTTGTTTATCTCAAAGACAAAAATTTACTTACTACTATTTAAGTATTTGATACTAAAATTAGATTATTAAGAAAACCAAAACGAGCAATCTGCTAGATTTTCATGATAATACATTTTATTAATAGAATTTTTTTAAGTTATTCATAATTGCATAATTTATCGATGAAATCAATCAAATAGGAAAATTCATTCTATCGTATACTATTATTTACATTTGGATACTTAATATTTGATAGGTCAAATTTTTATAAAAACTGTTCCAAGATATCTCTATTTTAAGTGCAATAACATCATTTTTTAATTTGCCAATCTACACAAGATGTTCTTATAAAACTACAAAGATAACGAGTATTACTTTTCAGCTCCAGAAAATTCTGCTGAAATGTAAATTTTCAATATAAGAGATGTTTAAACTTTTTTTTTCGATAGCACAGAAATAACAATGAAATGAAACTTTGAAAATTGAAATGAAAATTTCTTTAATGCATTATTTAAATTGAAATGACTAAATATATTCGATAATGAATATATATATTTCACAAAGCAAAGGATAATGAGTCTCCAAGCAAAAATTAGTTTCCAATCTTATCGCAAAATGGAAAAATATTGAATATTTATTTTCATATTAATCACTTTTATTCTTAATTATTATTTTCAAATTGATTGTCTATTCGTTGTCTTTAAACGGACTTTTCAACCATGTTTACACGTAAAAATTCTTAAATAAATGTAATTAAATAGATTTCTTAATAATATTTATATTTGTAAATTTTATTTCATATATGAGGTGGCTAAAGAATCATTATAACATTGATATTTTTTAATAACTTATTGTACCTAACTTGTAAAATAAACGCTCTTGAAGGGCTCTTAAAAATCATTATTCTTTCTTAATTATATATAATTAATATACATAATATTATACTTTCTTTTGTTGTACGAAATGTCGTGAAATGATATTTCTTAAAATTCAACTATTTTATATTGAAAGAAAGGGAACAAAAAAATTTCACGGTGTGCATTGTTAATATTTACATAAGTACTTTATGCATAATAATTGTCATTTTATCATTCATGTTAGTTATTTTAAGCAGATCGCGATTCGCCATCCATGTTAAAATGAGTTGAAAACTGCTTATTTTTGTATGCTTTTTTTATCATAATCCATGCAACATAAAACTATTTGTCAATTATACAAATGCAATTAATTGTGAATATCTTATTACGGGAACATTAAATTATAAAGCACATTATTGTAAGAAATGCTAAAATTCAACGCAACGTTCGGCAATTTTAATCAAAATTATAACACAAATATCCATTATATAAATATTATATTGATTTAAATATCATTCAATTATCTGTCGTACGTCTAAATCCACATTCATTAACCAGATTTACGTAAAGACGATTACCAGAGAATCCAAAACGATTTTGAAAATAATTTTATCTTCCAAAATCGTAGCCGACGTTACGATGTGCAGCATTACTTTTTATCGTAAATGTCGTTATGATAATGAGTACATAAACAATCGAGAGGCTATTATCATTTCCATTAAATTTGACGATTCGAATATAATCTCTTCTCACACGAGTTCCTTATCGCACCTACGAGCTTTCGAAATTCCCGGTGGTAGGGGGCTGCACATTACCGAGATTTCGTGGCGCTGTTTAGAATCAAAACTTTACTCGACATCGCGTTATCGCTAGCTTTGTAGAATTTTCAGTCGTTGTCCAACTATCATTCACTTTCCGCGCATCAGTCTCCTTCGCTTTACGTATAACCGTGCTATTCCCCACCCCCTCACACACGCGCACACTCTCTCACTCTCACTCTCTCTCTCTCTCTCTCTCTCTCGCTCGCTCGCTCGCTCGCTCGCTCTCATTCGTTCGCTTACCATTCCAATTGTGTTGGGGTTTTGCAGTAAATCGAGATCGCGATGGCAGAGAGAAACGAGAAAATCGGAATCGTCGGCAGGTTGGTTGTTTTACATTTGGTAGTTCGCTATTTCTTATCGTATCTCGCAAGCTTCAAGCACAAGCTCGGGACGTTTGTAAAGTTCACGCGCGCGCATATAAATAATTATAAGGTTATGTTCATAACTTTTATAAATATGCAAATGTAAATTTTACATGCATAGGTTGCTTATGCAAATGAATAAGAATATATATATATATATATATATATATATATATAATTTTCATGTCGATAACATTGACTTTCGATATTGTATATTTTATTGATCGATCGTAAAATTACGACATGGACTTTTTAATTTATTTTTAAAAATATTACCTATTTAATCATAAATCGTTTCCAAAAAGGAATGCAACTTATTATTACCATACATATGTGTGTTACATAAATTAAGAACGAAGCCTTTTTACAGTTATTTTATGCAACTTAAATAAAAATGAACAAAATTGAATTATTTAATTTTAGTCTGTACTTCGTGTTCATATACGATCTAATCAATGCAATTAACGAATATTATCGAATATTATTTTAATTATAATAGTCGTAAATACTTTTAAGCATTTGAAAAGTTTAACAAAGCATTTACAAACAAGTTTTTAATCGCCAATTTATATGGTTGAAGAAAATTTTGTTAAAATTTGTTATAAATATTATAACAAATTTAATCTTAATGTTTTTTTTTTTTTTTAGATAATATTTTTAAATATGACATGTCTCTCATGAACTATAAATTTAAATTTATATTTATATTTTTTAGTATAAATTTGAATGTTATATTTTATATTTATGCGCAAATGTATTAAATAGTTTATATTAATAAAAAGAATAACATATTATACGCATAAGATTTTTCATATTTGAAAATGAATATCGATATTTACAAATTTCATCCTTTTACTGTCCTCAACAGCAATCACAAGGAATCGTGCACAATACTAGCACTTTTTATCACAATCTGTAATGTTATTTCAATCATACCGAAGAAGTTCAGATTGAGATTTACATTTCTCTTTTTAGGATAACTTTTCCATCCTCATATTATAAAAAGGAAATTTTTTTTATATTATTTTATATATATATATATATATATATAATATAACTGTGAAAATACATTCGTATATTCTGTGATGAGAATGATAATATTTATTATGATTATTGGAAAATACGAAATTAAAATATTATCTTTTCGTACTTTCATATATTATCTACGAAGAATTCAACGTTAACATATCGATAAAATGCTTTAATTATTTTTCCTTGGCCATATCTTAATTCACGTGTATATTTTTTTGGTATATAGAATATTTTAATAAATTTTAATATGTCGTGAATATATTTTAATCTTTGAGAAATAAGTGGCTCGCGATAAATTACCTACATATCTCAAATTCGGCCTTTTTCGAAATCAATAATATCCAATCTTATTTTTCATCTTTAAATACACAATTTTATATATAATAATGTATTCGTTTAATAAAAGTAAAATTATTTTTACAACTTCGTATTTTTAATTTTTTGTTAATGAATGTAATAATCGATTTAATGATACATGTATTATGTAATAATACAGTATAAGTTATACATAGCATAATATATTAGATTATATATTATAATATTTGAAATAATACAGGTTTAGTGATGATGTATTTAAACATTTCTTGCATTCGAATTAATTTTCTATTTCAAAATACTAAAATTGGTAATGTAATTTGTATTGGGTCAAATTTTAATGACAATACAACATTAACATAACAATAGCAATAGCGAATTAATAGAACAATTTTTTAAGCGATCAATTTTGCAAAAATAAAAATATAATTGAAAACTGTCGGTAGCATTTGAAATACATGATACGAACAAAAATCTGTTCAATAATATAATAATAACAGACCTCTCCGAAAGCTATATCCCAAATTTTTTTTTTCTCATCTTTCCATTTTGCCAATTTACTTCGCTCTATGATATATTTTCTACTAAAAATGTTTTTTATCGTTGCTTAGTGGATCATTGGATCATTCTTCGATCATCCTCTTATAATAAATTACAAAGTTTACTCAACTTCCATAGAGAATGATAGCCAATGTTGCGTCACTTTTAAAACATTATTATGTTTTATATATTTTATATGTTTTATATTAAATATAATATAATAAATAGGATCAATAAACAAATTTTTCCTTTTAATTTTGCTATTTAATCAAATCTATGTATTAATTCATCTAATTTTTTTTTTTTTTTTTTTATAGAATCAATTCTTATAGATATCGAAGAAAACTCTGATCTATCTTATTCATTATGTATATTTAACGAAAGTAAATAAAATTACATGAAATCAAATTAATAGTACAACAATATAAATAACTTGTTAATATCGTTCCGAATGAAACGTATTGATTAAGAAATATAATTAAAATAAGTAGGTGGAACAGTTTAATCGCGTTCATTCGGTTATTAATTAATGAAAGCAGTCTCGAGGCCGCGTATTTCTATAATTTAGAGAAAATTTTCAATGAAACATTCAGACGACGATCGAAAACCCTTTACCTCGTATCTCCAAACTAACGACTTATGAGTGTTTGAAAAAATCATTCGTAGCGGTCACATCGGACGTAGTTGGGCGATGCTCTTCGCGAGCGTTGGCTATCAGGTAATGATCTACGATGTAGTCCAGCAGCAGATCGATAATGCTCTCGAGGACATACTCCAGCAGTTGAAACGGCTCGAGTCTAACGATCTATTGCGCGGAAAACTCAGCGCCGAACAGCAGTTCAGTCTCATTCAAGGTCAGTCCATATTGAACTTGAAAGATTGCATTCTCTTTGGTACGAGAAATTTTGTATTTTTAATAAAAAAAAAAAAAAAATGAAAAAAAAAAAGTAAAGTGGCACGATTGCGCCCATTAATTAATGCTCACTCGTTCATGAAATGAATAAATTAATGTATATGGTTAGATTGTATCTATAAACACCTATGATACTATGATATTTGCAGTAACGTAAGCGATCGAATTATTTCTTATGGATTATTTTAAATCGTAAACGCAAACAAGGTCGGACTGTTCGTCAATGTTCAATTATGCGCGTGAATTGCCAACATTAGAATTTACAATAACTTTAGATTAAATTTCAAATCATCCCATACGATAAGTGCGTTGTTATCCATTTTATTTCCAAGTCTTTGGCAAACGTCCGCCTCAATATTATGAATTTCACGATTGAATTAAAGCTCTTGCACATCGGGTACTTGCCCTATCACTCTAATAAAATTGTCAACTTCACAATTAACATATACGCGCTTATCATGTCCTTCGGAAATGTTCGCGTGCGTACCAATATTATTACGTCATCATATCCATATTGATAATGACGCGAAATGACTCTATAGGTACTTCGAGTCTCAGCGAAACGGTAAAGGGCGCAAAGCTAATCCAGGAATGCATACCCGAGCGTATCAATCTGAAACTAGAGCTGTTCAAGGAGCTGGACACCGTCATTGACGATGAGATTATCGTTTCCTCGTCCACGTCCACGTTTAAACCCTCGCTCTTCAGCGAGAAAATGAAGCACCGCGAGCAGGTGCTCGTTTCACACCCCGTAAGTTTTTCAAATCTCGACTTATTTTGTGCATTGTGTTTTATATTACTTTACTTGCTTTTACTGGATCTGTCTGGATCTGTAATTGAAATGTCATTAACGCTCTCGAAGGAAATCGATGATATTAGATTGAGGATTCTTCAACTAGCAAGAAAGACATTTGAATGCAAAGGAGGAAGGAAGATGAAGGGATTGTGGGAGACAAAATTGAGAGAAAATGAAATTTTTTTTTTATTTACTGTAATTTATCCTTTGAGGGAAAACAATATGATATATGTATCAATAATTTAAGTAATCGTTATATTATCATCACCTCGACTTATCGACTACATGATAAATTTGAATTTAACAATTATGTTATTGATCATTTTAATTTATCATATTATTATACTACGGTATGAGCATTACCATTGAGATGTGCTTTATATTATCAAAAAAAAAGCTATTAAAAGAGAGAGAGAGAGAGAAATGCTTGAATTACCTAAGGAAAAATCGCCGGGAATGCGGAGATAACAAAGTATAAATATATTGTTTTCCAATTACATACTTTTACGTTCAAAAGTAATTATTTAGTAAAATAAAACGTGTATTTTTCTATCCTTAACTTTTATAAAATAGGAATTACATGTTTGTAGGATAATGTTTAATAATAAATGAAATTACATTAAAAAATATCTAGAATTTACTAGATTATATATATATATATATATATATTTTCTTTTATAAATTAATTCAATTATTTCTAACTCGATGGTTATCAAAGATCAAAATAAAAAAAAAAATTTACTTAGTTTCTATTTGAAATGAATTTCTTTCTAATACATTGTTCAAATATAATTTTAATAAATGTTTTTAAATATTATCGCACTTCCGTCATAGTTTATTTCACATTCACAAAAAGTTGTTATATATATTAAATAAATTTGGAAAATTGTTAAAAATAAATTCATAACTTGAATAAAATATTTCTAATTTTATTTATAACGACAGATTTAACAAACCAACATAATTATTTTACTAACATCACACTGATATCTTTTGAATATACATAACATAATTTAAATTTATAAATAAAAAAACAAAAAAAAAACTAAAAAAAAAAAGCAACAAAAAAAGCAACAAAAAAAAATTGAGAAAACAAAGAAATATAGTGTTAGAAGAGTGTAATTATAGAGAAAAGCTAATGAGTTTGAATAAAGCAGAAAATGATGTGTCATTTATCAATCGCAGTCGATAATGCTTATAAACTCGAAAGTGCAAATCGACAATGACAAAATCATAGATTTAAAATGAAAAGAATAATTATCAATGACCACACCTGACCCCACGACTGTCTCGTTTGATAAATGCCCTTGTAAAATCATTCGTATGATGCATACATACGACTAGCCTAACGAAAATCGATATATTTAATTTCATAATGTATTGTTATTTTATATTTTAGGTAAATCCGCCTTATTACGTGCCTCTAGTAGAAATCGTCCCCTCCCCATGGACACGAAAGGAATTGCTAACAAAGACGAAGGCAATAATGATCGAGATCGGTCAAGCCCCCGTAGTGCTGAATCGCGAAACCGATGGCTTTGCTTTAAACAGATTACAGTACAGTATTACTTCTTAAATATTGTAAAACTATGTTTTTGTTGTTGTTTTTTTTTTCCCCCATATATTTCAAGGATAAAAAACTATATTCTCTAAATTGTCAGATATGCGATTTTAAATGAGGCCTGGCGATTGGTTGCTGATGGTATTTTAGATGTGAAAGACATCGATACCGTAATGTCCGAAGGTTTGGGAATGCGATATGCATTCCTTGGACCTTTCGAAACTTGTCACCTCAATGCCGAAGGTAAATTGCTAATCTTTCAACGCAAATAATACCTAAATCATGTATCACAATTTGTCTTTATTTAAAATATTTTAGGCATGAAAAAATATTGCGAAACATACAGTAAAAGTATTTACGATACAAGTATGACGTTCGGCCCGACTCCGAAATTCGAGGGCGAAATGGTTGACGAGATTAGTCGGCAATTGAATGAAATTTGTCCACTTAATAAACTGCAAAAAAGACGAGCCTGGAGAGATTTGGCACTGATGAAACTATCGACACTTAAACAAGAGATTGATACGATAAAATAAATACGATTAAAAAAATCATATAAACAGCAACGATGATACAAATAATATCATGTTGACAAATGCATTTTTTTTTTCTTTTCTTCTTTTTTTAAATAAATATTTTTTAAATATATAAACATAACAAAACAAAAAAACTAAAAGAAATCATGACAATGTTTTTAGTGCTTAACCACTTTATTATAACGAGCCTTTACAAGATATAATTTATCGCTTTCCACCGACTCTTGGAGCAGCCTTTTGCTGTACTTTCGTCGCTTTCTGTTTATGTACAGGTTTCTGTTTAAGTGGCACCGCTGCTTTCTTGACAGCCTTTTGAGCTTTCTTTTGTTCCCTGGCGGCTCTGCAAAAGCAAAAACAAACAAAAAAAAAGATCACTAATGGGCGAGAATTTCCGCTCAAAAGCCACACACACACACACACACACACAACAACAACAACACAACTCCACCCCACCACCACCACCATCACCACCACCACCCCCAACCAACGTATCTCATTCATCGTTACCTAAAACATGGCTACAATGGCTACACGATAAATTAATATTAAAAATATGTATGGACCCGCAAAACCAGACAATATGATTTTTAACAATACATAATTCTGGGTGAAGCAGCCCTCTTTTTAATTCATTATTATTACTCTAAGACATTCGAAATCTTACGCAACATGAATTATCGCATCCGAGGAACGAATGTCTAAACAAACAACAACATCTCTCTCTACTACTAAACACACTAAATTACCAGACGACACACACACGCACGCACACAGACACACAATTATTAAGTGACAAGGAAATATATATATAATATATTATTACTTTTTAAATATCCTAATACATTTTGGGTGGGTGGGTGTGTGTGTGTATTATTATGTTTAAAAACTGCGAGACACGAAAGAAAATTCTCGACGTAACTTCGGACGTAATAATATAATATAACCTCTCCCTCCCCCCCACCCAGCCCGCGCAAACCGACAAGAATCGAACCCCGAAACCTTCCGGCTTCCAAGACAAATACTTTTCCAACTGAGCTAACCGATCTCTACGGTTTTCGTTCTTCTAATCCTCTTCATATTGCAATTGCAGACAAAAAATCGAATATCCGTGTAACGTCACTTGTATGATGATTTCTTATTTTCAACATTTTGCATTTTATTAAATTTGACAAATAAGTTTAATAGATGTATGATGACAACGTTAAATTTAAAAATAGAATCAGGTGGGTATTTATCGACCGATCATTATTATAAATTTCCGATACGTTAAAGAAATATTTTAATTAAATCAGTGGGCATCGTCGTTCTTAAATAAATATTAACTATTTGCGCCAAAGAAATTAAAACAATGTTGGATGTAAAAAAACAAGCGTTTTTAATTGTTATGGTTAATGAAATATTTTCATATATGGTATCTAAAACTTCTCTCTAAAATTTATTGAATAAAGGGCTTATATTAATTTTTAATTTTATAATATTTATGTATTATATTGAAGCATTTAAAAGTGAGATAATAAGTAAGATTTAGGTAACTATCGATTATTACAAAAATTTATAAAATGCGCTTTTTAAAAAGAGACTACACAAAATAATGATATGTTTATTTAAAATAAAAAAATTTTGTTTCTTAATATTTCGATAAATATTAAACATGAGAATTTACTTATATTACGATTTATCGGCAGCTTCGAAGATCGTCATTTAGCTATTTCTTATTTGCAATTAATATTTTAATACGTATACTCGAGATAATTATACATGAGCTATTGATTTAAATTAGCATTTAATAGTCCAAATGACGTTGTTCATTTTGCTCGATGAATTAAGATAAACAAAAAAAAAAAGAGAAAAAATAACATAATGCAAAAGCGTAGCCTAGCCAACTTACTTGATAGCTTGTTCACGTTGAGCTTTCCTTATTTCTGGTTTCATGTTACGTTTAGCTAAAATATCGGTCAAAGAAGCTCCCACGATAGCACGCTGGAATTTCTGCGTCCTACGCGTTCTCTTCTTTGTCTGTTCTTCCTCCTGACCCTTTTTGTGCTTACGCCTGCAACGAAATAATAATTAAAACTCCAATACAAATGTCAATGATTAGAAATTACAAAGTAATAAAATACAACAATTACCTATATAAAACGGTCCACGTAACTTTTCTCGGATTACGCTTCATCAGATGGGCAGACTCACATTTTGAGTTAAGGAATGTGAAATTCTAAAATAAAACATCGCGCTTAGATAGCAGAAACAATTTTTAGGTTAATAATCAAGTATGTTGTTTTCGCGAAGTAATTGGCAATTAAAATCCAAAACGTTAACCGATTGCAGAGAGCACATTAAACATTATAAGCCTTTTAAATAAATAAAATAGTTAAGGAAACATATGAATTATCACCTTTCCGTCGACTTTAACCATAGTTTTCCCATGGCCGGGATATATCTTGTATCCACTATAGGCACACAGTCCGATCCTAAAAATATTAACAAGATATTAATTAATGGAGTCTTGCGGAGCTTTGGATGTTCGGGCATTTTCGATAAAATTCCCGATGTAATTGGCATTTTTGGATTTTCATTTAATTACGAGCACAATCACTTACTTCATCTTGACGGCGCTTATGCGAAAGAATACAATATGTACGCAACAAGGAGGCAACGATGAGTTAATGGCGCATACGTATGAAAGCGTCGCACATAAATATTACAAAAATTAACCACACTTTTCCAAATACATTTGAATTGCAATTTTGTCGTAATTGTAGAACAATACGACACATTTATTTCATTAATTTATTGAAATTTGTTGGAATAATTGATGGATATGTTATTTATCCGTATAATTTGAAGGGGATTTGACAATTCTTAAAGCTGAAGATAAGTAATTCATTTAATTCATTTAATGAATTTCAATTTCAATAATTAAGTATAATTATTAATAAAGACAATAAAAGAAAAAAAATATATTATTCTCTTTTTAAATATCGAAGCTTTTTGATTTGCTTAGGCAATGACAAACGAGCCCAGCCATAGCAGACAATAATTTAAATGATAATACAATATGAAGTCTGGTTGCTCCAACAACCATTGACATAAACACCAAAATCATAAGCGCGCCTTTCCATTAGTTTTGTTCTCTATTAACAATCTAATTATTATAATAAATGAGCTTTTTAACGCAAAAACAGTATGCATTTACGTTGTTCTTACAACACATTCTCTTATTATTTGACGTCTGTGCTAACTCATTTTCAACTTTTCTTAGAAGTAATCCAACTAATTTACTTATACTTTTTATGTTAGTAATTTATTCAAATATTAATTTCATTGTTTAAATGAAAACTTATTTCATTTACAAATATGTTCATTTTTTTAGAATTCAGGATTTCTGTTTAATAGTCGCATTTAGTATTCTTTTAATAAATATATTTGCCACGTATGTTTTTCAGGTCAGTATAAGCAAATTTTATTTTCAAACATAAACATTATAATTTCAATTTTTTAGGCGGGTTTAATTAAACTTTTATTCGTAAAATTTCGTATGACTTTAATAATTTGTGTAATCTACATTATCCTGAGCATCTCTTTACATTGTTGGCACGTGAAAATACATTACACGTCCCCATTAAGTGATTTTTGGCCAACAACTTATCATTGCCTTTACTCTTTGCATAAAACAAGTGAGTTATTGTTATTTCTCATATTCACACGATTAATTATATTTTATATAATTATTATATTTTTTTTTTTTTTTTTTTTTTTTTTTTTTTTTTGTAGCTGCAGTATTGTATTACTATTTAAGTAGAAGGACATCTTTACGAATCAGTGATCCAAGATTTCATAAAGGATCGAATTGGATACAAAAACAATTTAGCCTTAACTAAATGTAATATATAAATAAATTTATAACTATCTGTTTCATTAATAAACTTTATGTAATTAAGCCACTTTTGTATTTATTAGCATTTTATTAACATTGGTAGTAATTATTTACATAATTAATAAATTAGCTTTATAAAAATATTAAAAATTTGTTTAACAATGACTCTTCGTAACATCAATAATTTTCTGACAATCTTCAAATTTTGTTGTATAGTTCATGTTTAATGTTTATAACACAATGTTTTTAAAAAATTTTATTTCCAAAATATCATAGAAATTTCAATACATACAACAATGTACAATTGAATATTTATTTATTCATGATTAGAATAATCAAATTGAGTTTGTTCAAAAAGATACATCAAATCACAAAATTCACTATATACATTATAAAGAAATCTTATGAGCGATTCCAATTGATATCACATGAAAAGAACTATACATTTCTTAAATCTCTAACTTAAAATTAAGTTTAAGAAATCACTCATAAATTTCATAGATTCACTAAACGTACACATTAAATTAATAAATTAATTAAATACTTATTGTTAATATTGGAATTGTGTATAATTTTTTTTTTCTCTTTGTCAATTAAAATTCAACTTAATAATAAATTGCTAAACGTAATTATATTGTACAAGTCTGTCGTATATGAATAGGACTTTATAACTAATATTAAATACAATTTAATCGATAAATTGACTATTACAATTTAATTACTAAAAACGTGATTTAAACAAAAACGTTAATTAGTATAAAAATTATAAATTTACTTTTAAAAATCTTAATGATTTTACACATAAATAAATTTAATAATAACCGAATCTTTGTACAATGATCACAAATGTGGTGTGGTGATTTTTCATATTAACGAGAGGAATTAATTTTTCCTGAATTTCATTAGAATTTATCCAATATTTTTTCCATCTTAAAAGCTCGACACGTCTAATTACAATTGTAAAAACAACTTCGCACAAATAATAGTCTCTGTTTTGTCACTATCTAATCTTTATTAAACGTAATAACATTCAAATGCATTGTGTAAAAGGGCAAAAATTTACTGAATCCAAATGTTATTCGATAAAATTTAAACAAATTTAATCCGACAATTTTTCACGTGAAATTATATTTCACATCGATTAATGATTGTTATCTAGATGAACTGTCTGCAGGCTCACGTTGTCCTACAGAACATAAGACACAAAAATCACCAATAATTCCCATAATTTACTAAACAAAACAAAAGCGATTCCACCCGTTTACACCAAATTATGATTGGCGTGAAGAAACAGGAGCTTATCGACTAGATGGGGTGGTAGAGCTGCCCTCTTGGCATTATATACCATTTGCACCTCGGCGGGGATGCGCGCAGGTGGAGGACAACAAACCGGCACGCAATTGTAGCGACTGGCAATGCTGCCGAGATTCGGGCACTTGGCCGACACTTTCGTCCACCACTGAAGCGGACAATTGTCCAAGGGTGCCGTTGATTCGGACTGGTACTGGGCGAGCTCGAGGTTCGCCTTCTCCTGGATGGACATCCCTCGTTTATTGGCTCGCAAGCCACCCAGCAACAGTTCCATTCCTAGTTAAATAAAAACGATAAAAATTTATTATAATAATTGTTAATATTGAATGTTAATTAATGCAAAGTCCACAGTCACATCTTGTTTATTAATTTTTCCGCTAAGAAACGGCCAAGTACGAATAATTTACGTTAATTGGCGATTCCTCGGCATTTAATTATCAACGTTTTTGTGCGTGACTTTCGCATATCGCATATCTTCCAAATTTATTGTCACTTTTAAAGTTCTATTATTTTGCTTTCTCCTTAATGTTTTCGATATATTATGTTTGCGTCTTTTGATAAGCTTAAAACTTGAATCCAAGTCTTATGAACTTCAAAAGAACATTAGCAATAAATAAAAATTGGCATATAATTTCATACGATTCATTATGGAATTCAATATGGAAATTCAATTTAATTACTCCTTTGGGTGAAATTTATATCTTCCCTTGCGAAGAAAAAAAAAAAAGAAGAAAAAAAGAAAGAAAATAAAATGCACGTTGTATAGTAAATTATTTTTAATCTATGAACACGAATATGAAAATTTATTTATATTATTTCATTAATATTGACCTGATAGTCGACCCTTTTTAGCGAGCGATTCGTCTTCATTTTTCGTTTCTGAATTATCCTCTTCTTCCTCTATTAGCCTCGTGAGCATTTCTTTAATAGGGGTTGCAACCATCTTTTTATCTTCGTCCGTAGCATAAGGTACTTCTTTAAACCTAAATTTAATAGAAATTCAAATATAAATACATAAAGAAAAAAATCAATTGCGAAAAATGAGAACTTTTAATATAGAGAATTGAATATAGTTAATCAATAATTTTTAACAAAATACTCGCTTGAATAAATAATTAATTACAAAATTAGATAATCACGAGAAACAATGCTTTATATTTATACCTTGGATCCAGGGTCGTAGCAATTTGTAATAGTAAACTAACATTAGGATCCGAATAACGCTCGCAGAGCATTTCTGATAATGATTCTTTGAAAGATCGTGCAATATCACTGTCATTTTCCTTAATTTTCAGATGCGCCGAAACTAATTGCCAAAGTAATGGCTTCAGTAGTGATATAAGCGGCATTTTCTCTTCACTGAGCGTCATTATGGTCACTTTAAAAGGTTCGAGAACGTCAACCAAATCATTGACAACCTGCCACTGCTCCTCGTTAAGATCAACAGCATTCAGGTCAATGCCCTCAATACCACTTAAAATGGTAGTAATTATATCCCGACGGGGAATCATCTGCTGGAGCATAGTATACGTCGACGTCCATACGGAAGGATAATCCATAACCATTGTATTCTCTTCAAGCTGAAATTAGAATAACGCATGCCATGAAGAAATTACAATTGGTGATATGAAAATGCGTGGCAGATATCTACATTAAACGAGCAATTAAACTTCTATATTTTTGTTTATATAAATAATGCTTCATATGAATATACAAGAAATGTGTAAGAAAAAAATGAAAAAGAAAAATAAAAATAAAAATAAAAATATATAAAATAGAGAAACCGAGAACAAACGGAAAAATTAAATTCTCTTACTCCAAGGAGTTGTTCTTGCATTGCGAATGCCGCAGCAGAATCTGGATGGCTTATAATAGCTCCGATAATCGCTCTACAATTAGCTAAGACGTTAGCAACTTGAAAATTATCGAAGCAAGCTTGCGCGCAAACTTGCAGCGAATGAAGTAAACATGGAATGACGGATAAGCCTCGACTGATGAATGCATTGATTAATTCCACTCTGTTTGTTGATACAACAACAGCTGTGATCTTCTCCATTTTAATATACCAATCGCTAAATATAGAATCTACTGTACTACCCCATTGTATTTCGTCCCATTCTCTTGGGCCATGTATCGTACATAACATTTTTGATTCTAGCACCGCTTCACCTGGATTCTGATAATAAATAAAAAATGTATAAAAAATTTCTCCAAAATTAGATGCCCATTCGTCTACCGCTAAACTTATTTCACTTGTCAAGGAAGAAATATTAGAAAATATTGTTTCTCTAAATGTTTCATATGTTTTAGGAATAATCTCTTCTTCTAATGAATTTTTGCTTGGTATTTGGCATGGGGACTTTAAGGTTGCAATAAGTCTTTGAAATCCTTGCTCTTGAACAATTTCTGGCAATTGCAAATCTATTATTAGAAATTCTACAATAGCTTCGGAAACTGACTTACTATTCATGTTTGATTGCTGCTGATTTTCATCGGACATTACAAAAGCCATATTTTGCATATTTTGATTATTACTATTCAACACATTATCCGTAGGTCCACTTTTTATCATGAATTTCAAGGGCTTGGCAATGTTTACCCCAACATTAAGATCTTCCTCTAGACATTGGTCTGGAAAAGGGTCTGTCATAAATTGAATATCTCCGCCAATTTGTACCGTACCATCTGCGTTTGTCGTATATATATGTTGAGTACTAGTGGCCATTGCCGCTTTTAACATTCTTTTCTGAGCCCTTCGCTCTTTACTCTCCTGCGTGACTATTTGCTTACGGGGCGGACTAATTGCTTCAAGATCGTGCAACTCTTGAACGTGCTTGTTTTGCAAGTGCATTCTCAAATTACTTGTATTTCTATTGTAAGCAATTTGTGTTTTACATAGTAAGCAAACTATTTTAACTCTTGTTAAAATTTCCCCGTCGTCATCGGCAGGAAATCCAAAAAATTTCCAATATATACTTCGCATAGATTGAGGTACCACCAGTTTTCTATACGTAATAGAATGTTTTTCTTCCATAAATTTGGCAAAGACTGTTTGTATACCATTGCGCTTTGGCTGTATTATTTCTTCTTCTTGTTCGTGCTCGATAATCTCAACTCCCGATTGTAATTCGGAAGAATTGACATTATCTTGAACATCGATCGCCTCATCTTTATTACAAACTATTAATTGATTTTCCATTGCATTAGAACTGTCTGAATAAATAATTGTCAAATTTTTTCCCAAATTGCTCTACTGCATCTGTTGAAAAAACTTTTATTAAATACAATTAGCAAACCATTTACCCTGCGCTTAGATGATATTCAGAAAAATGTCAATGTATTAAGAGCTTAACCGAATGAATTAAGAATATACAATCTATGTTGAATGTAAAAAAATAATAACGACGATAACAATCTGCAGACAAAATACATAAATTGACACTCAAACATAATCATAATCTACATAAACTACATTTTGAGGCTAACATTCATAAAATTGTAAAATAACAAATAAAATGTAATTGCAAAATCTAAATAAAATTCATACTCTACAAGTAACAGACCGGAGGCATTTGATTTCTATTTTTAACGAGACCGAAATTTAATTTACAAGAATTTCATCAGCTCTTACAGGGCAGTCTTGGCAATTTGTATTACAATCACACCATTACTTTAAATATCTCCCTTACTTGTCCGACTTCTCTCAATATTGCGTTTTATCTGCGGACATTACGAAAAATCGTCGATCCCAACGCGAAAATATCCTTCGAACGGGTGAATTTTGATTTTGCGCGGCTCACAAGACAATTTCGAACTTGGACGAGATATCACAAAACGATATATATTCCCGTTGAATGCGAGAACTGCTCAACCGAAATATATCGATATTTATCTACTTGAGCTGGCCGTCGAGAGGTTGCCACGGGCACAGCGGTAAAATTAAACGTCGACTCCGAAGTAGCGCTTTGCGATAATAAACATGGCGTTCACGTTAGGTCGGTCGGGTCTTATATCGACCGACGCCGCGATCGACTTTTCTTCGGTACTGCTTCACCACCACCACCACCACCGTCACCCCCCCCCCCCCCCCCCA